ATAAATAATACTGTAATAAATAGGGGTGCTTGTATTCCTTTGAATTAGGGTTTTGTATTGTTTGGGTAAATATCCAGTAGTGAAATCCCTGGATCATGGGGTAGATCTATTTTATTTTTTGAGGAGCTTCCCTACTGTTTTCTACAGTGGCTATACCAGTTTGCAATTCCACCAAAAGTGCAAGAGGGTTCCTTTTTCTAGATCCTTGCCAATACTTGTTTCTTGTGTTGTTGATTTTAGTCATTCTGACAGGTATGAGGTAATATCTTATTGTAGTTTTGATTTGCATTTATTTGATTAGTGATGTTGAGCATCTTTTCATGTGTTTGTTGGCCATCTGGATGCCTTCTTTGGAGAAATGTTTGTTCATTTCTTCTGCTCATTTTTAATTGGATTATTTGGGGTTTTTGGTTTTTGAGTTATAGAAGTTATTTATATATTTTGGATACTAATCAGATAATACTAATCAGATAATGTCATTTACAAATATTTTCTCCCATTTCATAGGTTGCCTGTTCATTTTGTTGATTGTTTCCTTCACTGAGCAGAAGCTTTTTATTTTGATGTAGTCCCAAAACTTTATTTTTGCTTTTGTTTCTGTTGCCTCAGGAGACATATCTAGAAAAATGTTTCTATGGCTGATATGAGAGAAATTACTGCCTGTGCTCTCTTCTTTTTTATGGTTTCAAATCTCACATTTAGGTCTTTAGTCCATTTTGAGTTTACTTTTGTGTATGGTGTAAGAAAGTGGTCCAGTTTCATTCTTCTGCATGTAGTTTCTCAGCACCATTTGTTGAAGAGACTACCTTTTTCCCATTGGATATTCTTTCTTCCTTTGTCAAAAATAAGATTAATCCATATAATTATGGGTTTATTTCTGGGTTTTCAATTCTGTTCCATTGATCTTCATGTCTATTTTTGTGCCAGTACCATACTGTTTTAACTACTGTTGTTTTGTAATATAACTTGAAATCTTGAATTGTGATACCTCCAGCTTTTTCTTTTCCAAGATTGCTTTGGCTATTCAAGATCTTTTGTGATTCCATGCAAATTTTGAGATTGTTTGTTCTAGTTCTGTGATAAATGCTATTGCTATTTTGATAGAGATTGCATGAAATGTGTAGATCACTTTGGGTAATATAGACATTTTTACAATATTTGTTCTTCCAACTCATAAGCATGGGATGTCTATTTCTTTATGTCATCTTGAATTTTTTTCATCATTGTCTTATAGTTTTTGGAGTAAAGGTCTTTCACCTTTTTGGCTGAGTTTATACCTAGATATTTTATTGGTTTTGGTGTATTTGTAAATGGGATTGTTTTCTTAATTTCTCTTTCTGCTGCTTCATTATTAGTATATAGGAACAAAATGGATTTCTGTACCTTGACTTTGTATCTTGTGACTTTACTGAATTCATTTGTTCTAGTAGTTTTTTGGTGGTCTTTAGGGTTTCTATATACAGTAACATGTCATCTGCACACAATGAGAGTTTTACTTCTTCCTTACCAATTCGGATACATTTTCTTTCTTTATGTTGATTGCTATGGCTAGGATATCTAGTACTATGTTGAATAAAAGTGGTGAGAGTGGACATCCCTGTCTTGTTCTTGACCTTAGGGGAAAACTCCAAGATTTTGCCCATTGAATATGATGTTGTCTGCGGGTTTTTCATATTAGGTCTTTGTTATGTTGAGGTATGTTTCCTCTAAATCTACTTTGTTGATGGTTTTATCATGAATGGATGTTGTACTTTGTCAGATATTTTTTCTGCATCTATTGAAATGATCATATGGTTCTTATCCTTTCTCTCATTGCTGTATCGTGTAGATTGTTTTGTGAATGTTAAACTACCCTTGCATCTTGGAAATAAATTCCATTTGATTGTGGTGTATGTTTTTTTTAATGTATTGTTGGTTTGCTAATATTTTGTTGAGGATTTTTGCATCTATATTCATGAGTGATGTTGGCCTGTAATTCTCTTTTTTCATGGTGTTTTTATCTGGTTTTGGTATCAGAGTGATACTGGCCTCATAGAATGAATTTATAAGTTTTCCTTCCTCTTGTATTTTTTGTAATAATTTAAGAATGGGTATTAACTCTTTAAATGTTTACTAGAATTTGCCTGTGAAGCTGTCTGGTCCTGGACTTTTGTTTTTTGAGAGTTTTTTTGATTACCAATTCAACTTCATTGCTGGCAATTGATCTGTTCAAATTTTCTATTTCTTCCTGCTTTAGTTTTGGTAGATTATAGGTTTCCAGGAATTTATCCATTTCTTCCAAGTTATCCAATTTATTGGCATTTAGGATCTGTTACAGTTATTTGTATTTCTGTAGTGTTGGTTGTTATTTCTCCTCCTTCATTAGCAATTTTGTGCATTTGGGTCCTCTCTCTCTCTCTTGCTCCTTTTTTTTTTTTTCTTTTTAATGGACCTGGCTAGAGTTTTATCAATTTTGTTGATCTTTTCAAAAAACCAGCTCCTGGTTTCATTGATCTGTTCTATTTTTATTTTAGTTTCTATTATCATTTATTTCTACTCTGTCTTTATTATTCCTTTGCTGGGTTTGGGTTTTGTTTGTTCTTCTTTTTCTAGCTTGCTTACTTAGTAAAGTAAGATTGAGACTTTTTCTTGCTTCTCGAGGTAGACCTGTATAAACTTCCACCATAGAACCTCTTTTGCTGCATCCCAAAGATGTTGGACCATTGTATTTTCTAAAAGAAATTTTTGAAAAAAGAAAGAGAATGATACTGGAAAGAATTTTGGAACATCAGGAGGAAAGGAGGAAGAGTAAGAATAAAAATATGGGGTCTAATCCAGAATATTCATACATCTCTTATTTATCCAGTGTCCTCTAATGTGTGAGTTGCATCGTCTTCCCTTGAATCTGCATTTTTAATAAGCTTCCTTGGTAGTTCTTAGGCACTAGAATTTAAGACTCATTGCTATTCTAAAGGTAGGAGGGACCCTGGGCATACCTCACTGACCCACAGACTCTTTTAGAAGCATGCAACTGGGAGAACCTTCTCATGCTTGTGTGGTAGGTTGAAATTTTCATTCCAAGTCATGCTGGTCAAAGACCCAGCAAGAAGGGGACATTTAGTGGGAGTTCTGGAGAAAATTTGACTAAAGCACCATTTATAAACTTATAAATAGAGTTAAAGGCAACTAATAAGAGATGCTAAAGCAACCAGGAACTATCAAGAGTTTAAAGGTTTTACTACTCTTGGGAAGGAGAATAGAAGACACCCACTAGGAGAAGTAGAGACATATAATACATACAAATCCAGCCACACCAGTACTACAAGGCTCTGAAGCATGGAGGAAGTAGAAGACAGCATACTCAAGGCTTTACTTCCTCCTCCCCTAGATCTGATGGTGCCTCCCATAAACAGAACTGAAATGGAAGGAACCAAAGGACAAAGATGAACCAACCCATAGTGGAAGGCAAGAAGGATGGAGAATAGATCTGGGGAGATGGTAAAGGGAGAATAATCAGCTCTGATGTAAGAAAAATGCAGGAAAGGGGACCTGATTGGTAAAACATACCTAGGGAAAACACACAAACATAAAACAAAACAAGACTCTTTTGTGCCAATGTATATACACAAATAGCACTCATATTAGGACTAAATTCTGGCATGCTTTAAAGAAACATTCAATTTTTTAACCAATATTATTAGTCCAATTTCTCTTCAGAGAGCCACCTCTGAAACCCAGTAGGTTTCTCTGGCCAGGAAATTTATTATGTAAGGAACTCCAAGGTTTGTAGAAGAACATCCTTGCATTAAAATACAAAAAGTAAAGTAGGTCAAAAGATGGAGTCTGTTTGATCTTATAGCAGGATGAGCATTCAGACTTTTGGGCCTATCACCAGTCAAATCTACATGTAAATCAATAGCTTTACTACTATTAGATCAAGAAGTGACCATATCTTTTCTCTTGCAGAGAACATCATGGGAATGCTATGCAACCATCTGTCAAGGATAACAGTGGTAGCCATGGCTCTCCAATCAGTGGTAAATTAGAAGGCATCTTCTTCAGCTGCAGCACTGAATTCAATACTGGGAAGCCACCCCAGGATTCACCTTATGGAAGATACAGGTTTGAGATTGCAGCAGAAAAACTTTTTAACCCCAATACTAACTTATACTTTGGGGACTTCTACTGTATGTACACTGCTTATCATTATGTGATTCTTGTTATTGCCCCTGTGGGATCACCAGGAGATGAATTTTGTAAGCAGCGCCTTCCTCAACTAAATTCCAAGGATAATAAATTTTTGACCTGCACGGAAGAAGATGGGGTGCTGGTTTACCACCATGCCCAGGATGTCATTTTAGAAGTCATTTATACTGACCCTGTGGATCTTTCTCTGGGCACTGTAGCAGAAATCACTGGTCACCAGCTCATGAGTTTGTCTACTGCAAATGCAAAGAAAGATCCCAGCTGCAAAACCTGTAATATCAGTGTTGGACGTTAATGCCCACTTTTCTTATTCTTACCCAGTCCCTCTTCTTCCCCTAAGAGTATTGATCCTCTGTTGTCCATTTTCATCACCAGATGTTTTCCACCGAAGCATGCACATGCCGCTATCACCAAAAGCAAATTGCCATTTTTCAAATTTCATCCAGAGCCGTTTTAGTGTTTCCTATTCCCTGCCCTTCCCATTACTTTCAATGATGAAAGTTCTCCTCTGACACTTTATTGCCTAGATGCTGCAATGTTTTTATTTTTCCTTTATGCCAAACATAACAAAACAATTATATAAACTGCTTTAGCAAAATACAGAATAACGGCTTATAAATGGTGTTTAAATATGCATTCATTTTAATCTACTGAACAAATATTGGGATAACTCCAAACCGCATGAAAGGGTGTAATTGCAGCATGAGTTAAATCCTGAAGCCTAGAATTGTCAGCACTTCCAACTTGTTGTTTGACAGTGTTATTTATGTTATTTATATTAGCTAACAGGAAACAACTGTTGTGTTTCAACATAATAAATATAATAGAAAAATATTTTATTTGTATTGTATAAAATATTTACAATCATATAGAATATATAGTTACATTTTAATAGCAATTGTATACATGTCATGAAACCATTTCCCTTATCAAAGATGTAGTTTGTAAACTTCAAATAGTTGTGTATCTGTCCTGTTACAAGTAGATGACTTCAATTAAACAAATTTATGAAGGACATCATTCTGATTCATAAAAGTTATAAAATATCAGGTAAATACAGAGAAAACAATAAGCCTCTGAAATACTCTGCTTCTTTGAAAGTCAGTATTCTTCCCATCCAAACTATATGAAAATGTGAATTTGTTCAACATCATGCTTAAACATTACAGATAACAGAAATACAAACATGGTTGGGTACAAGAGAGAAAATGTGGACCTTTTACTTATTTTTACAAAGGCAAAAATAATAAATGTGTGTTTTAGTACAAAATAACACAAAACTATATGCAGTAAAGTTGATGAAGCAAATAAAACCTTCTGGCTTCTTTTCCAAGGTGTCTTAACAATTTCCAAACCTTTCATTTTGTACAGAACGAAGAATACCTACAACTCATGAGAAAGCTTTGTGATTTTACAAAGTATGTATAGACCTTGGAACATTAAGAAAAATGCATATTCCCAATGGAAAAATAGTTATATACTCTTATAGTAAACAAAGAGATTAGCAGTCATAACTATGATCACATTAGATTATATACTGCAGACCACAGATCTATCCAAAATACCTATTTTCAAATTTTAATACAATATTTTAATATAAACATCTGTCAATTATAGACAAAGATAATTCACAAAGTACATGCTATCAGAATGAACTTTGGTAACCAGAAATGTAAAATTTCAAATAACAGATAAAATAATGTGCTATTTTTATATAGAAATAAAAAATTAGCAGTGACACATTCTAGTATGCTTTACTGAATAGCCTAGTGGACTTAAGGGCAAGGTAGATTTTTTTATCATTTAAAAATCTATTAGAAGTTTGAATAAATTACATTCTTACTAGCTGTATTCCTTCCTACATAAAAAAGAAGAGTTTCTTCTCCTCCTCTTACTGATTTCTTAAAAATCATGCTCTTTTCCAAACACTGGACACTAAATAGACTTTCCCTAATAAGTGGCCCATTGGACAAGTATTACTTAGATTAAAAAAAAAAAATAAGATGTTTTTTGAAATAATTATACTGACTGTGCATTTTCTGCTCAGCATGGAGGAGACTGAAATTTTTTTCCAATTATACTGTTAGTTGTTATATATCCCCCCATTTAAATCCTCCTTCCTCATTGATAGTTACATTTACCATCTCTTCCTAAAAATAACTAATACTACCACTAAAGTGCTTCAATTTTCAATATATCAAAACTACTTTGCAAGAATGGCAGAGAAAAATAAACTTGACCTTATCTTGGTTGAAAGTGAGCACAAACATTTACTGAACCTCAGATTGTTTTGGCCATATCTTGCTTGCTGATGAGGACTTCCAGTAGTCTCAGTTTGGCTTTTATGTGCTTGTATTCATAGTACTCATCTGCCATTGGTATCCTATCTTCCTTTTGTGGACTTCTGCAAAACAGAAAATACTCTCTATTAGCACATAATAAATCAAGTCATTAAAAATCCTTTTATAATTTTTACATGAGAAAGTACAGAGTAGAAGTTTCCACTTGGTTTTTGCATCATCTCTTTTTTACTCTTCCTTCCACCTTCACTCACTCCCTCCTCCATGTGTCATTAGGTTTTTGTATAATAGTACCTTTTGAAAACTTGAATGTCATGGGTGTTTTGCAAATATATGGTCCACTGCATAGACATACAACAATGGAGCAAGTTAAAAGGAAAAAACAAACAAACAAACAAACAAACAAAAAAAAACCCAGAAACCAGAACTCTCAAGGCGTTCTTAGTCTAGTTATTCTCCTATTACTCATACCACAGTTCATGCCTCTGAAGAATGTTCAGCCCTTACAATGAGAGTTGTTAAAAATTCAACCTAAAAACTGCATAAATTAAGTGAAATAATTTATAAATTTGTGGTGATGGGGGGGGGGGGGAAGCTCAATGGTTACCTTATAAACGTGAAATATTTCCAAGTTTTCTTTTAATTATAATACCCATCTCTGCTAATGTGTAATAGAATCAGTGAGAGGTTCATGGATTGAATTTATATGAGTCTGAATTGTAGTGGTTCTCTTTGCACACTAATTCTAAGGCTAGACAACGGGCAATGCGTATTTTATGCATATACATTCTAACTACTATATGTTCTTGCCAATTACTTTGAAGAGTGTTTGGGTAACATCTGGAGTTAAAACCATTTCCTTTCCACAAAAATATGTTGCCAGGATATGTTATCTAGTAGTAATTACTTCAGGATTTTAGAAGGCTCTTGTTTCCTTGGCTGCTAAGATTACCTATTGCTTTTAGAACATTTTCACTCATGACTTTGAAATACAAGGGGTGGAAAATGGATGAAACACCACAGTTGCTACTGAATATAAACACAAATACTAATATTAGTGTGGCCGAACGTAGGTAAATAGCAAGCATTTATAATGTTTTATCTATACTCCCTTCTATTTTCCCAGTACTGATAAAAGATTTAGCTCTCATAAATTTAAAAAAAGTGTGAATCTATAAAGACTTCCTAAGAATGGAATTATCTACTTGTGATGCACCACTATATGCTGTCCTTAAATTTCTAGTACAGAACTCAGAACAGTACACGTATCTGTAGACAGGGTTTCTCTTCAATATTTATTCTAACTTATTTAATAGAATCTCTTTGCCTCCATTCTGTATTATGGACCAAACTTTTAACAGAGCCTCTAAATACCACCTTAATTTATATAAACATATCTAAGTAAAGAAATGGTCTAATTTATCTGAAAACACTAGTAACCCATCATGCAAATTTTCCTTGGTCCTGCATATTCCATTTTGGCTAATAAGCAAGAGTGTATTGGCCAGAATGAAAAATTTTGCAACATATTTCCTGAAGCAGTTTTCCCATTATGTAAAACATGCTAATGTGCTTGGTACAGTTCCTGACATAACTATTAATGTCATATCTACATGATTATTCCTCTTGCTTGGCAAATATTACCAAGAACATTTACAGCGACTTAAAATTTTTAGTAATCCATTTGCATGGTTATTTTACCTTATGGACAGGATTAGGCCTTCCTAATAAAATTTCTTAGGATAACAAGATTAAGATCTGTATTTCCTAACCATTCAACCCTTTGATTTTAATTGTGATATACCACCACTTTAGCATTTACTTTAAGTATACACCACAAGAGGGCATACAACCTCAGTCAAATACAGGCATATCTGAAGTAGGGTTAAGACTGAAAGGTGCAGTAGAATACTATACATAGAACATCACTAACTTCAAAAGTTATGCCAAGTACCACTGGAGCTCCATTAGGCAGGACTACTAGCACACTGGGGTAGTCTCAAACTCTTTGGACTCCTGCATACATACAGGTTAAAAAATGTAAATGTAAAAGCTGTATGGAAACTCTAAAAAAGGAAAAAATGGAAATGGAAAAAGAAAAGAAATTATGTTTTATATTCTAAATTTAATATCCACATAACATTTTTCACTAGATTAGTTAACATCAGCAGAAGGGTAAATAACTTGGACTTGTAGCAATCAACTGGAAAAGGAAGATTCCAGGTAGAAAACAAAGTGGGATACGTCTGTATTTGCTGAACACAGAATGTTTCTGACTTAATAGGACAAGTCCTATCCTACAGCTCTGGAGGACTGAAATGGAAAATCTGCTAAGAGGTGAGTAGATCAAGCTTTCCAGGTGCCTTAGAAAATAGTCCCTGTGCATCAGGTCAACCCTTAGTCTGCTGACATGAAAGGAATTCAGGAAGGGCATATACTTAGTTGCAGAGGAATACCGAAGGGCCAGTGTACCAGTGACTCCCACCTCTCCCACCTTAATAACTTTGTAACTTTGGGAAAGTTACACTTTATTATTTTTAATACTGACATCCCATAGAACAACTATAGCTTTCCAAAGTATTCTAGGAAGCCCAGTCATTTCATCTTACAACCATGGAAGCAGGCTCAGGATAGCTAAATGATTTGTTTTTCTCTTCTAGAAGTAAATCAATAATCCTGAATCTTATTATTTTATATATGTGTATATATATATATATAATATGATTATATATATGTTATATACATAATATATATTAATATAATGTTACATAAAATATATATTAACATATAATTAATATATACATACACACATGTATGTATTCATACATATACACATATATAATTACATACATATAAAAATTATTATACATTGACAATACACCAAAATTTAGAGAAAACTAATAGAATGCCTAATGAGACTTAGGTTGACAAAGAAAAATAGACCGAGAGAGGACACAGCTAAACATTTATGTTAGGGATAGAAAGAATAGCTATGAACTTCTGATTTGAAAATAAATAGCTAAGGGCAGATCCTTAAGTTTAAAAGACATTTAAAGCAAAAGAAGAATTATTTAATGAAATAGGGAATAACTTGTAAAACTAAATAACCCAGAACAAAGAAGTTATATGAGTTGAAAAATCAAAGAGATTTTTTTTTAAAGGTTTTATTTGTTTATTTGACAGACAAAAATCACAAGTAGGCAGAGAGGCAGGCAGAGAGAAAAGGAAGCAGGCTCCCTGCTGAGCAGAGAGCCGGATGCGGGGCTTGATCCTAGGACCCCGGGATCATGACCTGAGCTGAAGGCAGAGTCTTTAACCCACTGAGCCACCCAGGCGCCCCTCAAATAGATTTTTTAAAAGTTTAGATAAATTCAATAGTTAGGGATTTTTGGATTTCATCCTTTACTAAAAAGTAAAGCCTGATGTCGTATTTCATAGCTCCAGCCTCCCATAAAACATACCTAATAATGGCACTACTACAATGCTGCATTAGACAGATCTTGAGTCTAAATCACTGTGTAAATTATTTCTATTTTATATCACGTCACTGTTCCTGCCAGAAACGGCAGCTCATTCTTAACAATAGTTCCCTAGGAAATATTAACTTAAAAAAAAATCTCTACTCACACTTACCTTCCCGTTTGTTTAAAAAACTGTTCTTCAAAGTCTCTTAAGGCTTTCCGAAGTCTCTTCTTGTCAGCCCTAGTTTCTCGGAGATGGTCAAGAAGTACAGGCCTATATCAAGCAAAATACACATTTGCCATTACTGAGCTCTGGCATAATTGAGACATCATAAGAAGATTTATCTATTCAGCAAATCATATAATGATACAGAAGGGTTCGGCCTAAAAGAGTATCTTTTAAGTAAATATAGTACATGTAGAGCCTAATCATAGAGAAGCACATAAGCAGAGGATTTAAAACAATGTCATCAGAGAAGAGAAAGGATAGACAGAAGGCAAGCCAATGGAGTCCACTATAAAATGTGGTGACAGTAATAACCATATGAATGGATAAGGGAGAAAGAGACATTTTGAAAGAATACTCATCAGTATTAGGTGATAGACAAGACATAAGAGGCACAAGAGGACAAGAATTTAAAGAAAAGTCTACCCTTAAGGTAGAGTATGGGGAAAACGCCAAAACCCTTGGGAATGAAACAGCCCTTATTCAAAATAAAGCTAGAATTATACTGCAAATTCTACTCACTTCATTCTACTAAGACAAGAGAAAAGTCATGCGCTTTTAAGACAGGAATTTTTATCTAGGAAATTTGTGCATGGTTACAGAACTTTGAACTCCCTGTTATATATTGGCATTTTCAAAAAAAAAAAAAAACCCCAATAATAAATAAATGAAAGAAAAGAGAGGGAAAGAAGGAGAGAAAGATACAGGGAAAAAAGAGAGGAAGACTGATTTTCTGCTTTTAAACAGGTTACTTCGCTGAGCTGAAACTGAGGTGTCAGCTAATTCTATAAGCACACTAAAATCCCAATTTAGAACTTAGTCCTTAGTCCCACCTCATATATGTTTGGGGATTCTATCCCTATCTTGAAGTATATACTCACCACACTACAGTATTACATGTTAACGGAAATCTCATAGTCTGGCCTATACTATACAAACAAAAGGCCAAATGATCAAAAGGAATGCCACCTACTGAACTACTGAATAATGATAATGATAATAACAATGATAATACTAATGAGAATACAAATAGCTCCTGAGAGGCCATTAGGAACCTAAGGGCAGCTTATTTACTTATGGCCGAGGGGATTCCCAGGCTGGAGAACCATTTTATCTAAAGGAGTACACAGATTAGGATAAAAGTCCTGACAAATGTTTGACCCCCATGAGATCCCAATTCCTTTTGGTCCAGCATTTTCAAAAGCCATCTCTGCTTCACACATTGCCAAGAATTAGACTGATGTCAGACCCTGCTGAAAAGATGTGCAACTGTAGGAAATTAGTATTTATGGTATCTCCATATTTATGGTATTCTCCAGTCAAGAGAAAAACCAGATTATGCTTTTAGGCCATCGTTGGTTCACATTTTTTAGGGAATCTAATAGCTCTTGTGAACTTTGTATACACATATAAGGTATCCCAGATGAAAAGTTGAAAAGAAACTCCATACTTAAGATTCACACTTACATAGTGGCCTCATGTAAATTGGACATGGATAGGGCTGGTGGTTTGATTTCTTTTTTTTCATCTGGAAGCAGGACCGTAACAGGCTCAGTCTCAGAGAAGGTGAGGTGGTCGCCAACAGGAAGGTGAGACACTGGAGCTGGCAAAGAAGGTTGTTGGCTTCCCTGTGGACAGTCTTCATCAGAGTCTTCTTCCTCCTGCTTATCACAAGCAGAGTTAAATAAAGTCACAAAATGCTAAGTGCCTCTTGCATCAAAAACAGGAAGAGGAACCATAAATAGACACCATGAAAACAGTAGGTGAACCCTGTGTCTACCAAAAAACCAGAAGGAAGAAACCAAGAGGACCTCTTTCTCAGGTGCATCAAAAATCTTGCAGAAGTTATTGAGTGAAGAGGCACCCATGCTGTGCTAAAATGCTCAGCAAGTTCATCTCTTCTGGGCCAAAAAAGGCCCAAAGAAGATATGGTCCAATCTGGGCTGCACTGCCTACTAGTTCCTCCATTTCACCCAGACTTTCTGGTTACATGGTTAAGCAGTTACATGGGTTAGAATGAGAGGGACTTTAGACACCTTTTGTTATCCAGAAATACCCCAAATCAGGTTCTGGGTGGACCACATTCAGATACAGAGGATATTGGAAAATTGACAAATTCAGGGATAAGCTCTAGGAAGGCCAAAGCAAAATGGAGTTATTCCTTAACATCATCACAACCAAAACATTTCCTTGCAAGGAAATCTGAAAATCATAATCCTTTTAAATCATGCTTCCTCAATGGAAAAATTTTAGAGACTATGACTCACTATTATCTTTGTCTTTAAAATCATGAAAGTATAATGTAGTCAAGTATACTTAAATGTGTATTTGTTAATATTTATTCCTTTTTATATTGATATCTTGAGCAAGTGACTACTTGAATATTAATGGAGTAGGATTTGTGGTGCTTTTCTAGTTCTGTATTCCCATAAGTCATCTTTATTAAAAATAGTCTAACTCAATTTCAGTAGCCATATTTTCTATTGAAATAAATCTTATATCTTACATAATGATGGTCAAATGGTATCAAAAACAAATGATGCATTATATCAAGGAACATGTAGTCAATTTTCTTATTCAAGAAGAAAAATTAACACACAGAATAGAAAGGCTCTGGTCTAGCTGTGTTGCAAATTAGAAAATGCCAAGTTGAAATTCATCATTTGTTCAAGAAATGAAAGCAAATGTTAAAACTTGCTTCAAAAATGCAATTGCTGTAAATTCCTCTTTCACAGTAATTTTAATTATCAACCACTCTTAAGTTAATATTAGGCTTAATGGAGGCCACATTTCTACTTTTTGAAATAACAACTGGCCTTGTTAGCAGTATATACTGCCAAGAAGGCTTATTTATAACTGTCAGAGTGCTGCCTCCCTACCTAAACTATAACAAGCACAAGTAATTGTTTCTAGTTAAAGCAAGCATCCTGACTTACAATTGTTGGAATAAGGGAAGGTGTTGACAAGATTTGCTTGATAATCCTGTATCGGTCATAAAGAGGTTTTATGAGGTTCTTGTCTTGCTTAGCTACCTGAAAAACATGAAATTAATTATTGGTCCTTTCTTAGATGAGAATGAAAACGTGTCAGTATATTTTAGCAGGCAAAAAAAAAAAAACAGTTTTGAAGTCTCAAAATAGGAGATTAATAATACTATAATACAATAGTAATTAGAAAAAGCGGTCACTTATAAGATACTATTTAAAGCACATATCAATTTTCTTCTAGGAAAAGTTTCCTTTAGGATAGTTCCAAGTTTAGAAAGATTTTTAAAGCTTTCTGAAGGAATCCTAAATATGTAAATGGTAAGAAGCCTGTTACTTCTTCATTCTTTAAAAAAAAAAAAAAAGGTTATTGAGATCTTTAATTTTTTTTTTTCTGAAACGAGTATTTTATCTGGATTTTCATGATTATATTCACAAATACCAACCTTGTTTAGGTCTTCATCACAACAAGCCTAGAATATATACTAGCTTGCTGGCTAGCTCTGACATAAACTATTCTGGATATGACAATTAACTTACTTGAATCCTCAATTTCTTACCTGTATAACAAGGAGGTTGAAATTACAAAGTTCCTTCCAACTAAAAAATTTTATAACCTCCTGGTCCAAGAATGTATTCTACCTCTCTGCTGTATGACCCATCCCTAAGCACTATTTTTAACAGGTCACATTGTGCATAATATCTATCAATCCCTTACCTATCTACCCCACCATCACCTTTCCATCCAAAGTGACCAAACCTCTGCTTGCCTTGGTTTTACTCCCTGCTGTGTATCTTACATTAATTTGCTACCTATTTCCTACATGCAGTTTCCCTTTGACTCTGGTCAGATGCAGGAAGGGATGGTAGAAATAGCACATAGCAAAATCACCCGAGTATCTTTTCTTTAAGATAAAAAAAAACAGTATCATCTGGCCCTCTGCCTTCCAGATTCCCCCAGAGGGATCTTGAAGGAAAAGAACGTGGCTGAGAACCATTCTGGCCCCTATTTATCTCCTTTTACTCTGAACTTCTCTGTCTTATTATCTGGGCCTTGATAATTTTCTCTCTCAGTTTTGTCTGCCCAAATGAATTAGAGGGTTTACAAGAACAAAGATTATATCACATATTTTAAAAAATGTTCACAGTACCCAACACATCCCCCTTCCCTGCTATAAATTTATCAACACAGATTTACAAACAAAGGTACCCTAATTTTTAACAGCCTTCATATAATTCTACAGGCTATAACCTAAGGCTCTTTCATTTTCAGTAGAAAGAAAGGCTTTCTATAGAAGACTTTTAAATAGTATTGGCTTAGTAACCCCAAGAGGTTTTCATTTACTGGCCCAGTCATTCCTTAAATATTTACTTAGTCATAATACATCTTACTATGAAAAAAAAAAATCCTGTCATGTATCCCATAGGGTTTTAATAGGTAATAAAAAATCTCAATCCAAGTTCAGAAAACATTAACATCGTGTTTTTTATTCAGTGTCTCATTGGGGCTTATATTCCACAGAAAACGCTTCAGAAAATGATGCATTTAATGTTATTAGCATCTTTCTATGGTAGTTTGATTTTCGTGATTTTATTTATTTTTAGTATATCCTCTGGATTCTAGAAAAGCTAAATTTCATCCTAAAAGAAAAAAAGAGTGACCAAAAAGCAAGCTAGAATGATGAATGCTATTATAGAAAAGTATTCACAGATGCCAGATGAAAATCAGTGTCCATATACAATGTATGCACTCATCTTTCACTCTGATGAGTTCCTGATTTTATTCTTAGCATCATTATCAAAGCAATCCCCAAAGAGAGAAAGGAGGTCTCACTGGCAACAGTGTCAAAACTAATTCTGTAAGTGCTCATCCTCAAATAGGAAGACAGGCTGCCTAACAGAAGGGTTAGTGATCAGACTGTGTGCCTGGAGCTCTCTTGTACTCACGGACCTATAGAAAGAAGCTCAGGAAGGCCTGTAGAGTCAATCTTCATGAAGGAAGATGAGTCAAGAGGCAGGCTTTGCTTGAATAGGTACCTCAAATCTAAAGGGCAGACACACATTTAACTTGGCTATTCCTCAGCCATTTTCTGCCAAGAATCAGACAACTGTCCCCCCCTATATTCAACGACTGTTTTTGAAATGCATCCTCTCTGCCAAGTTCTGCATATTTGTGGCTGTCCATGGTATGTCAGATGTATCTAACTTTTGATTTTCTTTACGTGAATGGAGGAAACAAAGACAATGTTGAGTAACCTGAAATAGCCAGAGAGAGAGATATCCAGAGCATGAATGGGCTGTCAGGTTTAAAGATAAATAAAAGGAGATAAATCCCAAAGATACTTAGTCTAACTTCCTTCTCCCCCATTTCTTATAGCATCAGAAAGAGTGGAATGAAAAGGAGGTTGAGCAAGAGAGGACTGTGCATAGAACAGTTTGATATGATTTGTTGACAGCTTGACAACTTTGCCATAAAAAAATTCTTAAGACTCCTACCTAGTAGGTTATTTGAATCATCAACCTAATGAGTTATTTGGAATAGTAGCTCCCAAACAAGGTGGCAAGACAGAACTGCTGCTGAGTAGACAGCCCAAGTGTATTCCTTTCTGGGCCCTGGTTAGAAATTTGTTTGGGAAAAAACTGCCATAGCTTATATGCTTTTACCATCATGCTTGGTTTCCTTTCTCCCCATGGCATTAGTCCCATTTATTCCCTCACAGTAAATCACAGAAATTTATTTTAAAAATCATTTCCATCAGCCCCATAATCAAGATCTCTCCTAGAGAGGGAAGTAGTGATGGGAATCAATTACTCTCGCTTTAGAGAACCAAGTGTTGCCAAGCTTTTCTTGTGTCTGAGTCTCCCCAGCTCCTCACCAAGTGAGACAGTATATACGGAACAAGTCTGACTTTTGAACTAAGTCAAACAATGTGAAAAAGCAGTAATGAATATAATCATACAAAGAAACTGCTGAAGAGAATGGCTTGGTCAATATAAAATGTTTCTAAGCAGGGGACTGCAGATTAGTATTAGCCTTGAAACCAGAGGACAGGAGTTCAGATAATCAGCTTTAAAACTTACCTATTTTTAACATGGAAAATTATGTAAGGTCTGAACCTTAGATTTTTAATGTAGTGAATATATTGTTATATGAATATATTGTTTTAATAAATTAGCATATGTAAATGTCCCTGGCAACGAGTCAGGTGTACTAAACGTTATTTAAGCTAAAAACTAAAATTGATTTCAGGTTACTATCAATGTTGTCCATTACTAAAAAAGGAATACATGGTGCTATTAAATAAATTTTAAGAATAAAAGAATGTGAATCTATTTCTTTATACAAAAAGCTATCCAGAACATACAAAGTGAAAAAAAGGATAATTATATAATGTGTTACTTTTAGTTTTAAATGGGGACAAATTAAGAATGTATATTGATACTTTCTTGCATATGCTTTATATAAAAACTCAAAAGGTACACATGACACATTAGTAACAATAGTTACCTGCTTGGGGATGGGAGACCTCAGAGCTAGAGCTGGCAGAGGGGGTGGCAGAATCTTTTTAATGTGTAGCCTTTTACATTTTTTTAACTATATCAGATAGTATGATCTATTAAGAAAACTATTTTTATTTTTTAAAAAGAGAACTAGGAAATAAAACTTGATGGGATCTTCCTTCTGATGCCCTTTACCTCTAAATTTCCCTCTCTTAAATGTATATCAATCACTGTATTTTCACAATATATATAATGTGTAACAATCACTATATTTTCATTTGATTTTAAAAAATAAAATTATTATTTTCTTTTAAATCTGCTTCCCTCCTCAAAGATGCTGCAGTTAGTGAAGGTCCAGAAGAAGTAACTGCCATTACTCATCCAGTCGGTAATTTGTGCCGTGCTCCTAACACCACCTACAGTTCTCAGAAAGGGCAATAAAATGGGTACAATGTGTCAGCACCAATTTGGGACTTTCAGAAGAAAAGGATATAAATAAGCATCACAGTCAGACTCAGGGGATGATTCATTCACTTTCAGGGCTCAGTGGATATCCTGTGACCCAGAAGTGATTGCCTCCAAAAAGCATCCTTTAATAGAAGAGGAGGAAAATTACTCTATAGCAGTATCTGAATTGACAAGGCAATGCTACAGGATTTATCAGCTTTAGTATGGGCTCTGACCAAATACCAAATGCAAAAATTTCACAAAAGTCTCTCTAGAAAAGAAAGAATTCTTCATCCTGGAAGTTTTAATATTTAACGTATTTTCTGCAGTAAAGCAAGGACCCCAGATAAAAGTCATCTGCCAGTTTGAGTTTAAAGAAATGGGACCTATTCAGATAATCTCAAATGTTAAAAACAAGCTCACGGAGGAGCCAGGAATAACATAGCTACTGTGGAAATTTGCAAACCTCCCTTGGCTTCTGCTGTGATTTGGGACTCTCCTGTAGGAACCACTAGCCACTTTAGGGTCTGCTATATTAAACTTCCCCAGGAACAATACTATAGCTTTGTGTATTGAGAGCTACATGTTCCACTATAGATGGTTTCTATTTAAAGGGCCTACCTTTAGTGTAGTGCAGAGAGCTGAAGGGGCTTCTGACATTTATTAATCAGCTCGGCAGATACTTCATTTAAAATAATAGAAATAAATTGCCATTTAAGCAAAGATAACTTACAAAGAACTCAAATATGCTTCTCTGATCTTTAGACTCCCATGTGCATGTGCTATATTTGACTTAGATGCCTCAGCAGGGTGACCAACTGTCTGCATTTTCCCAGGATGAAATCATTTGAAATTTTCAGCATCCAGGAAAATCCAAGGAAACCAAGGATGGGTGGTCACACTATTGCTCAAAGACCTTAAAATAAACATGTCCAACAGACCTCTTAAGTTTCCAGTCCCATCCCCAGTCTGTTCCTCCTGTAGGATTCTCCATCTCAGTAAATGGACCCATCACCATCTTGGATTCCTCCTTTCCTTACTCCCTATTGTCCAATGATTCATCATATCCTTTTGATTCTTCATCCAAATTATACTTTGAATAGGTCTTTATCTTTCCATCTCCAAGGTTATCATGCTAGTGCAAAGGACCCATTTCATCTTCCCCCTTCCACTCTATCCCCCTACCATTTATTCTTCACACAGCAATCAGAAAGATACTTTCAATGTGAATCATCACTTTCCTGTTTTCAACAACTCAACAGCTTTCCAATACTTTATACTACCCTAAATGGTCCTATATCAGGGCCCCCGGACTATCTTTCTGACTTCATCTCATACATCGTGTGCTGCTAGCCTCAGACCCAAGAATTCCAAGTACGTGCAAGCTCTTCCTTCAAGATCTTCATCCACAGTCCCATCTGCCTAAAATGCTTTTTGGCTGCTGTCTTGGTCTATAAATTCTTCTTAATGAAGAATTTAGTATGTCATGTATTGGCCTTCCTAATCACCCTATATAAAGTAGAAACCATACCCATTATGTTCTATAATAGTATCTGTTTAATTCTTTGCACACTATTTACCAAATCTTTAATAATTTTCTTTATTTAACTGTTTGTTATTGTATCCCAATTCCCAGAAGAACGTGAGCTCTGTAAGGGCAGAAACCCCCATAGCTTCTCTATCATATTATATCCAGGATGTATTGTAATTCACAACACATAATAGGCACTTTAATATCTTTGCAAATGTATGATTGCACACCAGTCATCAGGCATCTTTCCTTCTTGTTACAATAATTACGTAAGTAGGTATTGTCTGTATTTTATAGATGATGAAGATGAATCTCAGAGAATTAGTTCACTTGCTACGTGTACATAGCTAGAAAGTGGCTTGCTGAGGCACTGAGTCCTGATCCAAGTCTACTGTCCCAATCCTAACTCAATCCTCACTGCACTAATCAAGTAGAATATAGAATTAGGACTTGAGTGTTGACCAAGCTTCTTTTATGGATGTGGCTAAGGTAACTAGAAAATATAAGAAAGACCATCAGAAGCATTGAAAGATGGAAAACCATATGTGCGTGTGTGTGTGTGTCCCACAAAAATCTACATTTAGTGGGGGAGGGAATGCATTTGCTAAGTAGATGAAAACCCATTCACTTTTCACAACATATAATTGATTATTCTTAAGTCTAAGCATTTCATAAAATAAAATAAAATAAAATAAAGGTGGCCAAAGGCTCATTTCTGCTTGTAGATCACAAATCTCCATGTAAAGGAGAAGTCCAGGGGCATATGGTAAGCCTTTTGGGATTTGATATATGTTGCCACCTTGTGATTGAGACCAGATAATGTGCAATAGAACAGGTAAAGGCATTCTCCTCAAGAATACTTGATTTCTAAGTTAAACATGGTAGTTTGTTCATTCATCTATCCATTCACTCAGCAAACATTTATTCAATACCCCGTGTACAGACAGTGTAGGATCATGAGATACAAACAGCAAGAGGTCTAAGTTATAAAGTAAGAGACAGAAAATGTCATACAGCATAGTTAGAGCTATGATTGGGGAGCTACCACTCTTATTCAAGAAATTAAGGGTAACCTTACCATTTAAGAGTTGGGACAAAAAGACTACAAGGAAGGCTCCCTGGCATAAGTGAAATATAGGCATAGATGTGCAGGATGAGGAGGAATTAGATAGTTAAATACTAATTGCTTTCATTATCTTCTTTGTAAAATATGATAAATATTTTCTTCAACCTCTAGGCTCATAAATCCAAATGTCTAATAGACAATTCTACCTGAATGTCTCACAGAGATTTCAAAACTAAGATGTCTAAAGCGTCCAGTTTTAGACATCTTATTACCACTCTTCAAAAAACCCTACCTCTTTATTCTTATTATAGAAGATACTAAACCATTTTCCTTACTATGTATAACTCATCCCAGCTTCATTATTTTTTTAATACAACACACTATAAAATGGGATTGTAACACTAATCTTGGGTTAATTTGCTAGCTTATTGGGGGAAGTAGGGGAGAAAGAGACATGATACACCTTCATATCTTTGTCATTTGCTTCCCACCAACATGCAATAACTTTCAGAACAACATCCTGGAATTAAGTGGCAACACCCATAGGTCATGGCCAATAACTTACTAAAAACTCACCTGACTAAAATTTCAGAACCAGTCTCCTAAAGTTATTTATGTGGCGCCAAGTGCTCTTATAAATTATTCAAAACCATAATCTCACTGACAATATATTGAGTGTTGTGACCTGTGAGGATATGGTGAGGTACCTTAGAATCCTCCTGAGCAGGAAGCTGCTCTCTTTTCTCCTTCAGGCATGTCAGCACAGCATCTGGAGTCTCCTCTCCAGAGGAGCATGGCTCAGGACCCACAGCTTCTGGCTTCCCATTCTCTCTGGGGACTGCAGGTTGCTCACAGGACAGGTTTCTAGGTGGGCCTTTGGGAGCAACCCCTTGTTCTTCTGAGAGCTTCAGCTTTAGTTCTAAGAGAAATGCCATGAGTTACCATGAACAAGGAGGACTCACTGGGCTTAAGAGTAGAGAGTCTTTCAGAAATTCCCACCACTGATGTGAAATCAGTCAAAATGGATGGTGTTGCTGACGGTTTTCCACGAGGAAAGGGCAGCCTTAGTAACCAGAACCAACAGCATAAGCTCCCAATCAGATGTAGAAACAGGGCTCTCGAGGGTGGAATCTCATGGAAATGGAGTAATTCGTGTGTAGGAGTAACTCAGTGGTTTAAATTTCAGAGGATGAGTTCCAGAGGAAGACCAGTGGTATTGCCCCAAAGATTTTACCTGTTACCCACCATAACACCTAGAATTCTACACTCAGAAGTTCACTTACTTGAGTTTGGAAGCTTTGTGCCATTACGAGCCCCTGTGCAAATAAATGCAAACACCTCTATAAGGCTTTACACACTTAGACATCTGAGGAAATACAGGAGCAATGGGAAAGGAGAGATGTGAATGCCAGCCCCAACTTGACAGATTTCACAATTTTGTCTGTTATCTTTTAAAATCCAGGAATCACCATTATTTCAATGTGGTTTTATATATAAGCCCACATAATTAAAAATAAAAAAGCCACCTGGGACATGTCACGGAATTACATTTCAGAATATGCTAAGGGGCTGATAATGTCAATGTGGCCATTTGTATTGATTTCTCAATTACATAGCTCGTTTTCTTTGTTTGATGTTTGTTTTTTAAGTTAGACTCTGGTGTGGTGTTTAAACACTGCATATTTTATAAACCTGCTACATCATTACAGTTTAATACCACTGAATTAATATTCCCTTCCCGTTCTTTATTGCCACCTTTTTAGACATTTGGAAAAAATTCTCACATCTCTAAGTATTGAAATAAGAATGTGAAGAGCGGAAGAAAATAAATTTTTGCTGGAAAATACCATAGTACTTTTAAATGGATTTTAGAGTTAATTAATAACACATCCCCATCTCCAGAGAAACGCAGAAAGAACACTGGATTAGGAGGTAGGAGAACTGAGTTTTACACCTAGATCACTACCTCCTAGCTATGTAAATTGTCCCTATCTCTGGACATAAATGTCATCATCTCTGCAAAGTGGTATGCAGAGTCAATGATTGCTCAGGCCTTTTTCTAACATCCAAGAATCCAGTAACCCAAGGAAGTTAATACTCCCCGTGTTGAAATGTTCCTAGCGCTGAAGTGAATCTTCCCAATTCAGAGTCTGTAGTTCTTCAGTCTCTTTATAAGGAGAATTGTTAGATGGGGCCAAACAATGAAGGGGACCCAGAACCCTTTATTTCAAAATGGAGCCTCCAATCTAGGTGAGACACAAGGTTAGAGAGGGCACAGGCAGAAAAGAATAAAAAAACACCTGGGAGCACATTATCAATATTTTAACTGCTTCCTTTCTGGGAAAAGAGACCTTTGACTGGTCCTTACCTTTGAGTTGTTTACGACCTTTAGCCAGATCATTCATCCATTTCAGGACTTCAGGATTAGAAGTCTTGTCACCATGTGAAGGCTACAGGGAGGGTAAATGTGGGTGGGAAGGTGGGAGGGAGAGAGGAAAAGAAAAAGATAAAAGGAAAAACAAAAATTGTAAACAGTCAAGACAACACAAAGGTAGTTCAGAGACATATGAACCTAAGAGAGAAATTCAGATATGACAACTCCAGTTGATAGAGTTCCTTCTGAAAAACACAGCAAACATTCCTGACCTCCTCCACATTTTCGTCCTTGACAGGGGCATTGTTTCTAAATATGCCTAGTCACTAAGCACTTTTCATATAGCCCCAACCATTCCAGTGTCCCCTGCAGTATAACCCTCAGTCACCCTGTGGGCCACCCACAACCCACACTTGGTTGCCAGGCCTTTCTTCATATCAGTGTGGATGATTTCATATCAGTACCAGACCTTTCTTCATATCAGTACCTAAGCACTAATATAAGCCAGTGCTTACTCCCTCACCTGTACTCACACACATGGTTTATGACCACCACTTGTCTGGGTTATAATGACAAACTAGAGGATTTAGTTCCTACCAGTCATTTCCACAAACCCAGAGAAAGAAGACCCCAGGATCTCTAAAACTTGACAACTGTCTGAGAAGACAGTACTTCAGGGAGATACCCATATTTGTAATCATCTCATTATAGACTCAGTATCCTACTGGGCTAGCATTAAAGTAAAACTTAATCATAAGTGTGTGATCTTGGGAAAATTACTTAGCCTCAGTTTCATCTACCAGATGAGAATTATAAAAGCATCTGAAACAGTGAAAGCAGTTACTGGCATATGCTATGCACTGTAGGTTAGGTGTGTTAACTAGAATTACAGATGTTATTACTAGAAGTGGTGATAGTAGTAATGTTACTACCAGGCTTTCACAGGAATTCTAGATATGTCTTCACCAACAAACATATATGTAGGAATATGTACATCTTACCAAGTAGTTAATAGAACCTGTATGTGACAATAAGAATATATGTTTTATTCTGGGAGGATAAGACTCTGTTAAAAAAAATCACTCACTTTGATTTCTGGATTTATTCTCCTAGCATAAAAATGGATTTTCTACAGAAAAGAGAAACAAGGAAAGAAGAATGGCCAAACATACTTAGCCTCCACCCCCATAGGTCAGTAAGATCTTTCTTAAATCAAGGCCACTCAATTAACTTCAATGCAGGCTCAGGAAGATTGATGATTACTCTGAATTGAGCATATACAAGGACTATTATATAGGAATACTCAAGATGCCCTGATCATAATTATAATATCACCAGAAATGTGTACATTGATAGTGACTAAGTCTAGGGGCTCTGCCATATGTTGTTTAAGGATCCACTAAGTCTGTGTTGAGAGAAAGGCATCAAGAGAGAAATGTGTCCCTCCTAGGTTCAAAGGAAAAAACAGTGCTTGTATGGCATGGTCATCAAATCCCATCGATGGGATTAGGAGTGTGGCTCAATTGGTTGGGTGTCTGACTCTTGATTTTGGCTCAGGTCATGATCTCATGTTCCTGAGACTGAGCCCAGGATTAGGTTCCACTCTCAGCACAGGATTCTCTTTCCCCCTTTCTCTCTCTGACCCTCCCTCTCTGGCTCACACATAGGCACTCTCTAATTAAAAAAAAAAAAGTACATGGGATTAAGTATGTTAATTGTGAAACACAGGTCATGATTCTGTAACTTCTAGAGTGATGTAAAAACCATAGTTTTAAAATCAAGATGGAAAAGAAGATTGAAGGAAAACAACAGTGTTGTTCCCCCCACCACCACCAACACTGAGCACTGGGGAGCTCAGATGGATAGTATGGATGGTTCCCTTAAGTGAAGCCCTGGCTTCAGTACCACGGACAGTGACACGAGGCCACACCTCCAAAATAGCTTAGCCTTGTCCTACCCACGATGTGCCAAAATGATGTACTGTGCCACTTCCCTGATATATAGTTTAGTGTGCTGTTTCGGGTAACAGTCTGATTATATGGACAGCCAATATTTTACATTTGGTTTTTCAAAATCCTCACAGAATTTTCCACTCTGATCTTTAAACACATCTTGTTCATCTGGAACACATCTTTCTCACTAGATATGCTTTATACAGTTATCATCTTCTTAAATAATGTTAAGAACAAGAACAAAAACCTAAAACCACCTAAGAAGTCAGCTTTCACTACTGCAAAAAGAACTTAGGAAAAATGTAAAGCTGATTTCTTTTTCTGACAAAATATTTTAAAGCCCGAAATAATTTTCTGAAATGAATTTTTTATTTCCCTACTCCCAAGGGAGATTTCAAAAGAGGTTAAATCAAGCTCACAAGGATGGCACCCTTCAAATCACATGGAAAGTTTTCATGTACAAACTGTGGATCTTCAAACCTTCTAACTTCTAAATATCTCAGTTTAATAAACCCCAAGAGAATAAAACCCAGAAATTACAGACTCAGAAAGATAAAGTAACAAGTCTAAAATCACAAAGTATCTAACTAGCTGTATTTTGTTCAATTAAAATGGGACCTCCAAGGCACATGACTGATGATATCCTGGACCAGATCTGTGGCCTGTCAAAGACAGTTCAAAAGACCTTTAGAAAGAAATCTGGATTAGGAATGAAAAGACCTGAGTTGTCTTGGCCAGGTCAATTCTTTGTTGTGTCATCCTGGGGAAGTCATTTCCCTTCTCTGGGCCTCAGTTCCTTCAAACATCAAATGAGAAATAAGACTGACCGATCCCTTCTAATTTCAATATTCTCTAATTTCACAAATAGTGGACATCTGGCTGAAACAGCCTTTTCTAACTCCACAAGGGTAATGATTGTTAAATGTAAAATTTTTTAAATTAACATCTAATGTATTATTTGTCTTGGGTAGGTACAGGTCTGTGCTTCATCTTACACAACTCATAGCACTCACCATAGCACATACCCTCCCCAGTGTCCATCAGGAATAAACACGGTTTTGGATAGGAATGTAAAATGGTCACATTCAACAGAGGGAAAGATGCATGTTGTATCAGGCCACTGGACTAGCACAAAGACCCAGCAGGAGCTCAAACTAAAACACTAGCTGTGGATGCTATTAATTCCACAATCAGCCTGCCAGGAAGAAAATCCTTACACTCAAAAACTAATTTAAGTCCATTAACATGTCAAGCCTCTAACCAGAGCCTGCTGCCCCAGCAGGAAGGGTGAGGGGAAGCCCCATTCCCTAAGACAAGGAAGGTTCTGGTATACCAGAGACTTTTATACACACTGAGGCAGTGGTGACCATGAGGTCTTCCTCCACTGCTCCCAAATTCACCCTTCTACATTTGTGAATGTTTAAGTGAGTTGTGTGGGCATGTGTCTGCACCAGCTCAAAAACTTCTCTAGACAGGGACGGGAGGTGACAGCAGAAATTCTTTTCCAAAATAGATAGCCTGTTGGGTGGCTGTTATAGCTGAGAGAAGTAATCCAGGGTTGTGGCTGCAGGTAGAAACATTCAGTGAAGAATTAATGTGTACAGTTTTTCTTCATTTTTGGACAAGGCAGAGGCTGTTTTGGAATACTCTGATCAAACGTCACTCAAATAGATTAAAAAGTTAATTATATCTAGGACCACATATTTCTCTGTGCCAAACGCTATAACAACCATTATATATGCACTCCTTCATTTAATACTCACAAACTTAAGAAATCACTACTAATATAAACTTCAACTATGCAGTTGGATAAACTGAGACTCAGAAAGCTAAAGTAACAAGTCCAAAGTCACAAAGTTCCTAACTAAGTTGTGCCAGATTCAAATCCAGATCAGCCTGATTTAAGGATGGCCAGGTAATAAGTATTAACAGGACCTGGGAATGAAACCCATAGTTGTTACTCTACTGTTTCCGATGTGAGGATATGACAGATCCAAACACATTCCAGCAGCAAATGGAGGAAATCAGCTTCCCTCAAGATACCTAGAAATTTCAAAAATGTGGACACTAACAAAGTTTACTTCTATTCCTCCACTGCAAAACCTACTCATCTTTCATCTACCAGTCTGAGCTGATAGAATACAACTACCTAAGGCATGTCACAAGTCTTTTCTGGGCCTCGGTTTCCTTATCTGTAAAATCAAGGTCTATACCTCTTATGTGTAGAGTGCCTTCCTGCTCTAATGAAGTAAAAAGACAGTAACAGCTGTCACTGTTTGACTTTAAGGAAGAAGAGAAGCTTCAACACCCTGACTAAGGTTGTCTCGAAAAGCGGTCTGATTTTTTCTTTCTATTGTATAAAGCTTAAAAAAAAAAAAAATCACTCCGTATACCCGTCTTTTAGTGAATTTGAAGCCACTGTGGGAAACAGGATAGGAAAAAGTGGGGAGTGGAATATCATCCACTCTCATCTCCCACTCACAGATGTGCCACTTATCTCTGTACCAAGTGCTTAGTGAGCCTTTAAATATTTCAAGATGTATGAGACATTATTCCCTATTCTCTTTTATTCTGATAACAAGCTCTCTGGGCCCTCTGCCAAAGACCCAATATCTTTGTGCAATTCTACATCCATATGATTTTGGTCTATGCCATGGTTACCGTTAAGGAAAATAAATAAAACTAGCATTGACCATAAGGACACTTACCTCTCTATTTGCTTCTCATGTAATAAAAGAAAAGGTTCATCATTACAACACTGCAACACCAGTGTGAAGACTGGTGTCTGACAGGAAAGGATGGAGTAGGGTTTATCGTTATGAATGAGCTGAACAGATGTCACTTGATAGGTAACCAGAGGTACTCTTATGTCAAAGAAGACTCTCTCCCTTATTCTGTTCTCAGTTAGAGACTCTGACCTTTGGGTCCTTAATAGGTCCTTACAAAATTGCAAACAGTAAAGGGTTAGAGAAAAAAATAAGATCATAATTCAAAAGCTTTCCAAATTTCAGTCCTAGAAACAGTGATAGTAGTGCTCCTCAGGGGGGGAAAAAAGAGTATCAATAATCGAATCAGTTTGGAAACAAGAGTTATAATCCATTACTAGGAGATATCTTTGCAGGGTCAAATTACAGCCTGTGAGGACAGGACAGATCCAGGAAGGGAACTCGATTTATGGTGGGTCCTGGGTTGCAAATGGAAACAGCTGTCCCCTGGCAGAGAGGGGTAATCAAAAAGGAAGTAAAGAAGAGCCCACATACTTCTGACACAATCCACTCTTATTTCAAACTGTAGGGCCCTTACCCGGTATTTCTTTTCTTGTTCAAATTTTTCTTCGAATTTCCGAATTTTTCGCTTGAGGCTCTGGATGTGCTTGGTGAGCTGGGTAATGGTCTGTGGCTCCTTGCCATCACCACAGCTGCTCCGTGAAGAACTCCGGGGCCTGTAACAATTGCAGAGAGGGACAGAATCATCAGAACCCATGGTCGTCCCATAAACATTGCTACTGGCCTCCAAACCAAGCTTCCAGGATTCTCAGAAAGGGCAGTCTGTTATTTGCTGGGTCTACAATGGTGGCATCTTCTTATTAACAGAGGCTACCAATCACAGAATTCCATTATGGGAAAATGCCATCAGAGACTTTAGCATATAAATGTCAGAATATTAGTCCAGGAAATGCATTTCCTAAAGCTTGGAGGAGGCCAATTTAGAACCAAAGGAGACATCCTGCTGTGTCATCTCTGACAGGTTGCATGAGATCCACCTAATAACATTTTAAGGAAGACATATTAACACAACAGAGACTTTGCAAATCTGATAAGAGGAATGGACCACGCCCTCCAGAAAATTAATTCACCCTCTCACATGGCACATCTTTTATAATAGAAGAATCCACTAACTCCCTCGAGTGTACCAATAGACAGCCTGTGTGCTCAGGTTTGGATAAATTAATTAATGACCACAGAAGTTACTAAGGGGAAACTAGGGATTCCCTGCACATATTTTCAGTCAAGGAACACTCATTTTAGCTGTGCGTCAAAATTATTTGTAGAATTAAAAAAGAAGTGCACAGTTTCACAATTTTTGGCGGGGGCGGGGGGAGGGGTGGTAGGTGGAGGGCAGCCATTGTAAGCCACCATTTTTTAGAATCTAAGAAGAAATTGAGGTATACAACTCCCAAGCATGGCCACAGGCCATCCCTTGAGGCCGCTATAGGGCATGGAAAGAATATTAAGCTCACCACAAGGGTATTCCTGGTATCCGCATATACATATTCTTACGTAGGACTCCGGTCATTTCACCAAAAACGTCCAAACATGCAAGCCCTGGGGTTTCCTGCTTCCCCTGACCATTTCCTCCTGAGATAGCAGGACCTAACACAGCATTCCCAACTAAAAAGTACAGACTGTTAACATTTACTGTTCAGGTCTCCCAGTTGCATTCCGTAAGCATGTTCGCACTATCTCAGACATATACTTCATTACGGGTCATGAATGTAGTATTTGAAAAACTGTATGAAATGAGGATAATAACAAAACACTGTTTTCTTACATCATAAACTGCTGAGTGCTGGGTGGAGAAGGGGCTGATTCAGGGTCTAAGTTGAATCTCTGGCTTTGGCTGAAGATAGAGCATCGTGGTGACAACAGTGGGTTGTCACCATCAGTGATGTGACAGAGCAGCCTACTAGTCCCAACGGACTGGAGGTCTTCTGGTGTACTGTCTGCTTCATTCTGCCCATCTTTGTGGACTGGTGCAGGGTCTGAGGAAACAAGATAAATCATCAAGACCTAGACATGACAGAGGCCTTGAGACTGTCATGTTCCTAAGTAAAGATCATAAACATTCATTATAATGTCTTGCCTCTTTGTCATTTCTTCCTTCTGGGGATATGAAAGGCTTTCAAACTACTGTCATGTTTGTTCTCAGAGAACTTGGGCAGAAAATATTAAAGCTGCCACCACCACCACCAAAAATGGAAACACAAATTATTTTGGTACGAATTATAAAATCAGCATAGCCCCAAACTACAAAAACCTTCTATTTCATATTATTTGCATATGTTGAAGGGTGTGTTAAGAATGTTACAGTAAAAACAGAAAACAATAAATGGAGCTGAAGCAGAAGAGGACAGACTATGAGGAAGAGAAGGGACAACAGGAATGCCAGTGAAGGCAGGAGTGTGAAGGACTTACGGAGGGAGAGGAGGCTATGGATAGACAATCATTCAGCAGTCATTAAAAATGATGGAGAACTCTGCTTATCAACATGGACAGATGTTCAGAATATACTAAATGAAAACCACAGATTTTGAAACAAAACAGATATGATTCCATTTTATGTAAAAAGCATACACTTCTGTGTACAAATAAATGCACCAAAACATTAAACAAGCTACTTAGCAACTATGAAGCATGGAAGAATTAGGAATGATTGTTTCTTTTTCAAAATTTTATAGGTCATTTTATTTTTGACAAAAATAAAAAACAAGAACAAAACGTGCTCCAAACCCTCTCCCCAGGTAGGATGCTAGGTTTGTGCCTGAATTCTATGATCATGCCCCCTGTAAATGAGCTCAGAGTGGCCAGGATGAGAATCTCTATCTACATCATGGAGCTCTAGACAGTTATTCAAGCAGCAGCCAAAAGAAACTCCTCAATTTTGCACAGTAAACACTCAGGACAACTCAAGGCTTTCTCTTATTCCTATCCCCAATAAAGAAGAAAACAAATGTTTTCTGGGTGAATAAGCAGAATCTGAAAACCCTGCAATCCACTTTTCCAAAATAAACATTTATCAAAATTTGGTGCTGGATGACTCTTAATCAGGTTTAGAATGGCTCATGTTCTCCAGAGCTTGAAATGCAATTTTCTTTGTTAACATCAAAGGTCTAATCCCTTGTGTGTTTTCAACTGGCTTCTTCGCTGTTGAGTCACAGACTGGGAGCCAAGATAATGCCTCCTATTGTGCCTCTGAAGCTCAAGACAGCAGTCTATCAGTGGCTGAGGCTGGTCAGAAACGCATGAGATGCGGACTGGGGAAGAGGTGGGGCCAGGCCTGAAAGCAAGGAGCGCTCCTGTGTCTGACAACTCACCCCAGGCAATACCCTTGCTAAGAATAATTTACCCAGAAAACATGGTTCAGCAGGAGCCCAAAGGAATAACAGCAGGAGTAAGAGTTACTAATCAATAAAACACAACATACGCCAACAATCCCTTTCAAAACCCACCAGGAGATATACAGGTTCCTTACCAAATCCTTTTCTTAAGCCACTAGGCCCCAAGAAGAAATGCATTTTATTCATATTACTTATTTCTGAGCAGAATCTTTTGGTAATAACAATGGGGAAGAAAAGAATCTTTAGCATGAGCCTGGGAACAGTGTGTTTTGTTGAAATGAGAAAGGTCTGAGGCCTTCAACCCTTTAGCTCAGCTGTGGCCCTAAGGTTAAAACTAACACGAGTCTCTTGGGGCTGTTCTATAAAGCCAAAGTGGAGGTACTTGGGCCCTTAGCTACCTGACTGAAGTGGAGGTAGGAAGAGGGTCCACAGGGTACAACATTCTCTTGTGATGCTGGTTATTGGCAGTGAGCCACAGCTCCCAGGCAGCCACGCAATCACAAGGGTATGCGAACAATACATTTTTTTTTCAATCCATTGAATTTTTTTTTTCAGCATAACAGTATTCCTTGTTTTTGTACCACACCCAGTGCTCCATGCAATCCGTGCCCTCTCTAATACCCACCACCTGGTTCCCCCAACTTCCCATCCCCCCACCTCTTCAAACCCTTCAGATTGTTTTTCAGAGTCCATAGTCTCTCATTGTTCACCTCCCCTTCCAATTTCCCCCAACTCCCTTCTCCTAACTCCCCATGTCCTCCATGCTATTTGTTATGCTCCACAAATAAGTGAAACCATATGATAATTGACTCTCTCTGCTTGACTTATTTCACTCAGCATAATCTCTTCCAGTCCCGTCCATGTTGCTACAAAAGTTGGGTATTCATCCTTTCTGATGGAGGCATAATACTCCATAGTGTATATGGACCACATCTTCCTTATCCATTCGTCCGTTGAAGGGCATCTTGGTTCTTTCCACAGTTTGGCAACTGTGGCCATTGCTGCTATAAACATTGGGGTACAGATGGCCCTTCTTTTCACTGGTAAATACCCAGTATTGCAATGGCAGGGTCATAGGGAAGCTCTATTTTTAATTTCTTAAGGAATCTCCACACTGTTCTCCAAAGAGGCTGCACTAACTTGCATTCCCACCAACAGTGTAAGAGGGTTGCCCTTTCTCCACATCCCCTCCAACACATGTTGTTTCCTGTCTTGCTAATTTCGGCCATTCTAACTGGTGATGATGAACATCTTTTCACGTGTCTGATAGCCATTTGTATGTCTTCATTGGAGAAGTGTCTGTTCATATCTTCTGCCCATTTTTTGATATGATTATCTGTTTTGTGTGTGTTGAATTTGAGGAGTTCTTTATAGATCCTGGATATCAATCTTTTGTCTGTACTGTCATTTGCAAATATCTTCTCCCATTCCGTGGGTTGCCTCTTTGTTTTCTTGACTGTTTCCTTTGCTGTGCAGAAGCTTTTGATGAAGATTTTGATGAAGTCCCAAAAGTTTATTTTGGCTTTTGTTTCCTTTGCCTTTGGAGACACATCTTGAAGGAAGTTGCTGTGGCTGATATCGAAGAGATTACTGTCTATGTTCTCCTCTAGGATTCTGATGGATTCCTGTCTCACGTTGAGGTCTTTTATCCATTTTGAGTTTATCTTTGTGTACGGTGTAAGAGAATGGTCGAGTTTCATTCTTCTACATATAGCTGCCCAGTTTTCCCAGCACCATTTACTGAAGAGACTGTCTTTTTTCCACTGTATATTTTTTCCTGTTTTGTCGAAGATTAACTGACCATAGAGTTGAGGGTCCATATCTGGGCTCTCTACTCTGTTCCACTGGTCTATGTGTCTGTTTTTATGCCAGTACCATGCTGTCTTGGTGATCACAGCTTTGTAATAAAGTTTGAAATCAGGTAACGTGATGCCCCCAGTTTTATTTTTGTTTTTCAACATTTCCTTAGCGATTCGGGGTCTCTTCTGGTTCCATACAAATTTTTGGATTATTTGCTCCAGCTCTTTGAAGAATACCGGTGGAATTTTGTTTGGAATGGCATTAAAAGTATAGATTGCTCTAGACAGTATAGACATTTTAGCAATGTTTATTCTTCTGATCCAAGAGTATGGAATGGTGACCAATATACATTTAAAACCATTCTCTGTACAGCCATTCTGTTTCCTACTTTCAGCACAGTATTCAATAAGTTAAGTGAGATATTGTCTTTGTGTTAGATAATTTTGCCCAACTATAGGCTCATATAAGTGTTCTGAGCACTTTGAGGTAGGCTAGGCTAAGTTAGGATGATTATTAGGCTAGGTAGATTTAAAGCAATTTGGATTTCAATATTTTCTACTTACAGTAGGTTATATGGATGTAACCCCATTGTAAGTCAAGAAAGATCTACATCTGTATATAGATAGAGCAGAAAAGTACCTATTTTATATAAACTAATATATTTACTATGTATTTTAGATAGATAAATTTCAACCCATAGTTTGTTTGTTTTTGTTTTTGTTTTTTTAATTTCAGCTTCTCCTTAGGTATTATGGACAAGAAATAATGAATTTGATGTGTGTTTTTTTATTTTTAGTGATACACACTAAAATAAATTCCTATTAAAACTAACAACGTTTGCCTATGCACCATATTGGTGAAACGCTGAGATAAGGCATAGATGCTGCTAAACACAGTAACCATGAGAACCATCATTTTAATAATTATTATCATCAGAATAAGGAATTAAATGTAATGCTCTCCTATTGAACACCAGCTATACATGCAGAGTTGCTATGGGGTTAATACAGGGAATAAGAACCAATATATCCCTCAACATATTGTCCCTCCTCCCAGTTATTTGTAAATAAGAATAATCATATGTAATCTTTCTGGAGTGATTCACTATGTCCTCAACTAGTAAGAGTTTTTGCATGTATTTAATCTTCATAACAACCACATGAGGCTGATAGTAATAAGATCTTCATTTTAAATTCACTGTGGAAGGATATACAAACTATGCTAGCACCAGGGAAGGTCTGACCAGTGCTCATGACAGAAGACTCCACATCTCTGACTATGTGAGCCAAAGAATGTTTCTGGCAGCCCACTCACTGAGCAGTAGGGAACAGAGAAATCATTATCATCAGTGTGTGAAGGCCAAGAACAACTTCTGATCTTGTTGCAACCCCAAGTAGAAAAAGATGCTGTATTACATCTGTTGAATAAATCAGTTTTAAAAATATATCTAATGTGATTTTTTTTAAGATTTTATTTATTTATTTGACAGACAGAGATCACAAGTAGGCAGAGGGGCAGACAGAGAGAGAGAAGGGGAAGCAGGCTCCCTGCTAAGCAGAGAGCCAGACGCGGGGCTCGATCCCAGGACCCTGGGATCATGACCTGAGCCGAAGGCAGAGGCTTTAACCCACTGAGCCACCCAGGCGCTCCTCTAATGTGAATTTTTAAAGTGATTCAAAATTCAAATAAATCTCTACCTGCAACCACTTAGACACACTGCTGAAATCTAATTGAATAATGAATTAGCCATAGTCCTATGGATTTGTAGATTTGCATTCTTGGGTATGCCCTTCATGGTGGGCTTTTATAGATAGCATTCAGGTACATTCCAAATGCCAAATGTCAGCTTTTGTTGGTTTTAAAAGCTAGATGAGCCAGAAGTATGCCCAACACTCTAACAAGGTACAAGCATCTGAATTTTCACCCAGCCTCACCCAAAGAGGGCCAGCAAAACAAAAACTAGAAACAACCCGAAAATATCTGATGGATACACAATGGGTCTACTTATAGGTATGTTGAATTTGAGCACCTGAGGTACAAAGGGGTTAGCTATGGAGTCACAAAAGAGAGGACATGGCTAGGCTTGAAGTCATTCTAGTAACTAAATTTGGGGAGACAGGTGAGCTTGCTTTCTTGGAGACGACCAAGAGGGGACAAGCGGTACCTCCAAGATTAGAAAGGGTGGGATAGGAATGAGGACAGATGAGGTGGGATTCTGGGTTAATATAACTGGCCAAGTTACTGAGTGGGATGTGGCTGGCACTCCAGTCAGTGCCAAATTCTGTGGACAGCTACCAGAAACATGTGGGATCTAGAAGGGAGGGAAATTTGTGAAAATTTGTGAAAGCAGGACTAGGTTTTATGGTAGGCACTCTGTGCAGGTCCAAGAGCCACATTGCCATCATGGATAAAAGCACAGGATATAGGAGCACCTGGGTGGCTCAGTCAGTTAAGCATCCAACTTTTGGTTTCAGCTCAGGTCATGATCTCAGGGTCATGAGATCGAGCCCCATGTGGAACTGTGCACTCAGTAGGAAGTCTGCTTGAAATTCTCTCTCCCTCTCCCTTTGCCCCTCCCCTTGCTTTCTCTCTCTCTCTCTCTCTCTCTCAAATAAATAAATAAATAAATCTTTTAAAAAAAAGAAAAGCACAGGATATAGGCTCAGAAACATCTAGCTTCAAGTCCCAGTTTTCTCATATGTGTGACCTCATATGTGTGACCAATAGATTGTTCAATCTATTGCATTCTCAGCTTTCTCATCTACAAAATGGGAATTCATTCATTCAACAAATGTTTATTAACCATCTACTGCATGCCAAAGCCTTGTTTTAGGGTAGTATGACAACTGTAGCTATCTCATAAGTTGTTTGGGGGATTAAAAGAACACAAGGAATCTCAAGAGCTTAGAACAGCGCCTGGGGAGGGGACATAATAATCCACCAATGTTAGTTGTTGTTGTTTTGTATTTAGAGTATTACCTTTTACCTAGTTAGGGAACTTAGGAGAGGAGCTGGCTGTTCTGGATACATGAAGAGGCACTTTGGTCATCATCCTCTGGAGGTGCCCAGTAGGCCCTGATTATATGCAAGTATGGAGCTCAGAAGTCAGAGTCCAGGTGAGTTTGATCTCACCATGCACCTCCCCAAATCAGCCTTCCATAGCAGGAGGCAGAGCTGTGAGCCTCATTTTCATTTTGAAAGAGTCAATGTATTGATTTCAATTAAAATGAAAGGCTAATAGATTAGGGCACTGGGTTAGCTGAGCAACAAAAAAATCCCAAAATTCTCCCTAAAACCCAGAAAACAACAGGGATCAAGAACCTTCACTCAACTCAAATCTAAACTTATTCCTTGCCTCTGTATTTTTTTATTACTTCTTCTAATTAAATTTCCATCCGTAAATGCAGATCTAAGTTTTAAGGTTTGTGAGTAGTTCTTATGTGTGTGTATGTGTGAATTTTTATTCACTGCATGATTACTATAAGAATAATCAAGTACATTTTTTTTAAGTAAGCTCTACACCCAATGTGGGGCTTGAATTCACAACTCCAAGATCAAGAATCACACACTCTACTGACTGAGCCAGCCAGGCACCCCTGTGAGGAATTCCAATTTAATCTCATCCCTCTTGTTGCCTAGAAAATTATAAGAGGACAATTTCAGAATATTGTTTTCTTGAGTTATTACAATTATACCTAATATACACAACACTTTTACCAAGTAAACATAACATTCAAGTCATAGAAATGCCTAAATACATAATCTTCATGGTATATTGTCACTGATTATCTTTTAAGTCCAATCATAACTTATAAACAGTTTCATAAAAAACTTTTAAAGGTTTTTTTTTTTAGTATTTTTATAGACTTAATGGCAAGAAGAAGGAACAAATAACCACTAGTTAAAAAAAAAAAAAAAAGTTGTATCAACAAAGGCCTAACCGAAGGAAAATCACATTGTCATTTGGCTAACATGCTGTTTATACCCTGCACTATTATATTATACTAACATGCTGGTATCATTTTGGGAAGAGCAAAGAGTTTGAACTTACAAATTTTCAGTATAAAAATAGTATTCAATAAATTTAAGTGCCTAGACAAAATTAAATGTCTTAAATACATTTTAATTTCATACCCCAACTAGCTTAGCAAAGTAAACTCCCAAGGTAAAAGAAAAGAGGCAGTAAAGACAACTAGAATGAATGGAGACAAAGGAACACAAAGTGGCAAGATATTGGGTGAGAAAGAGAAGCAGCCAGAAAGCTGTGGGGGAAGAAGTATAAAAACAAAGAGACACTGAGGTGGTAGAGATGGGCGAGAAGGAAGGAGAGGAAGGTGACAAAGACTGAGTTTGCACAGAGGAAACAGGGAGTGAACATCAACTTCTAGCCCATGAAAGACTGACATGTTCAGGCGTTAGTGATTTCTTGCCTCAATCAGAACTGTAGTGTATGAAGGCTGCGGTAACATGACTTACACCGAGGACAGATGCAAGATCTCCAGATCCTGTCATAATGAGAAAGGGAAGAAATCCATGCTTTGCATTGTTTTGGAATAGGACATCTGAAGTAAGAGTAATTCATATTTTTGGAGGCAGTTTTTATACAGTACCAAACCAAACGTCCAATCCGGGGAGGAAAGAAGAAACAATCTTCTAGACAGATCTACCAGTGATTAAATGAACCTTTGCACATTATTCATCCTTTTGCCTATATGCATACTACCAAAGAACAGTTGAGAAAATAACCAAGGGAAATAGCAAGGCCAATGAACAATTTTTCCCCCTCCCTGTGTCACAAAAGTGGAATCAAATGCTCAGGTTACAGAGCTCTGCTTGAGCTGTGGGACCAGGGAAAGAGCCACTGTCATTCATAACAGTGTCCAAGATTTGGAAGTACTTTCTTGATATACAGAGAAAGCTGGATGCTGTGCTCTGATTATTGTTCAGCCTAAACAGCTCTCCAGGTCTTCTAGTTAATTCCTGCACAATTGACCACATCAGTGGTACAGCTGAAAAAAATCTGCTCTTAAGATACCAAGCTATTTTTGAAAGCATTTTCATTTAAAAGCAGATGTACTTTGCAAAGCAAAAGGAAAATTGAATATACAAAGCAAATGGGAAGACAGAAGGAAGGAAATTCTAATCTTCAGTGGGGGGGGGCTGTTCTTTACTAGGCTTATCCAGTGTCAGTTAGGAAAAATTAGTCTAAGAAGTTAGTCCCAGAACTCCACAAAGACAGAGCCGCAGAAAATTATGATCCTCAGGGAACTGGAAGAGACAGTGTAGGTTCTTCATTCTGGGCTTGGGGGTGGTAGGGTGGGGGTTCCCAGAAAGTGTCAGACACCAAGTGTCTGGGCATGCCATTGGTCATTTCCAGACTGTACTTGTGTCATAAGCATGGAAGAAGGAATAACCAGAAAGGTTTAAAATGACCAAAATATATGGGAAACTGTGTGAAAAGGAAAAAAGATATATGAAAACTCTCTGTACCATTTACTCAATTTTCAATAAACCTAAAACTTCTTAAAAATAAAATCAACTAAATTTCAAAAAATGACTATCAACCTGCTAGTTAAAAGCCTGGACTCTTGAGTTAGAGCCCCAGACTTAGTCTGAGATCGCACTTGTTCACAATTGTTATGTCCTTGGCCAGGCAAGCCTCTTCTACCACAGAATCTTCTTTTGTAAAGTGTTGTAGCAAGGACAAATGGGATAACTTGTTACCACAGTCCTGCCTTAGAAACTGAATTTAAAAATCCTTTTAAAAATAATTACCTGGTAAAAAATTTTTTTTTAATTTAAAAAATTTAAAAAATTTAAAAATAATAATAATAAATTTAAAAATAAAATAAAATAAATAATAATTACCTGGCTTTTTAGGCTATAGGACTTTTTTTCTTTCCCTATAGTTATAGAAACAACCTCAGAGAATATACTGTCATCTATAAATTTTGAAATAATTAACAAAGTACTTTCCTTAGAAAACAAGGGATTAGTGGGAAGTTCCCTCTTTCAGATACTATGAAGATGGTTATAAGAGCATCAGAGAAAAATTATTAACAGTAAAGATCATTTCCAGGCAAGTAATGTCATAGGTTTAGCACAGGATAGATTTTATGGTAACAAATGTAGTTTCAACTTTAATAGAAGGTAATTACTCAACCATCAGCTCTATAGATTATTGCTGTTATAAATATCTTTTGCTGAAGGGAATTAGTGTAATGTCAATCATAGGCAAGACTCCAGAGGGGACCTAGGGAATGAATAGTACTAATGGCATTTCACACCTTGAAAGTAGTTATAATTATGACAGTAGATAAAGACAAATGTTAAGCATTATCAACTGGAAGAAAAGCCACATAAGCTCTGACTATGGCAAGAATGCCCAGCTTTTTAAAAAAATAATAGCTGACATTTATTGAGCATTTATTAAGAGTGGTGTGCTAAGTTCCTCATATGCATTATGCTACATTAGTCTCAAAATAATCCTAAGTAGAAACTAATCTTTTTTTCCCATTTTAAAGAAAAAGAAACTGATGTACAGATCAAATCATCTGTCCAAGATCACTTAACCTGCACATCAAGTTCTGCAAAGAACTGTTTCTGAACAAGACAGAAAAAATGGATGTGATTTATTTGGGCTTTCAAGAAGTTCATGGCATGGTTTTGATATCAGAAGTTATTTAAAAACAAAACCAAATGACGACTGGGCTAAATGTTTTGCAGTGGATTACAAAACCCACTTAACAACATGCAGCAAAGAACAGAGTTGAGTTAGTATCTTTATGATGGACATGCCAGTACTAATCCTTGCAAATGGATCCTGGATTAATCTTATTTTACATTTCAAAAATGACATGGAGGAGGAAATAGAATCTTGAGTCTGAGTTTGCAGATGATATTCCTATTTTCCAAAGAATAAATTGCTAAGCAACCACAGAAGCAACTCACAAGTCATGAGGAGGCTCAATGGCAACAGATGACCTTCGATGTGGACAGTAGGAAATGCAGCTGGAGAAAACTATCCATGTACTCTTTTTTTTTTTTTAAACATTTTATTTATTTATTTAACAGAGAGAACACAAGCAGGGAGAGTGGCAGTCAGAGGGAGAGGGAGAAGCACACTCCCCACTGAACAGGGAGCCCAATAAGGGGCCTGATCCCAGGACTCTGGGATCATGACCTAAGCTTAAGGTAGAAGCTTAACAGACTGAGCCACCCAGGTGCCCCTAAACAAAGGAGTTTAAAAGCAAGTGAATTCAGACCCCTCACATTCAAGAAATGATTATTACAGAAATTCCAAAAGTCCATGTGTTCCTCAGTGTTTTCTTAAATACTTTTTTTTGTTCCAATTCAAATTTTTATTAGAGATCCCAGTATAAATTATTTTTTAATTTTTTTAATCATTTTTTTATTTATTTTCAGCATAACAGTATTCATTGTTTTTGTACCACACCCAGTGCTCCACGCAATCCGTGCCCTCTCTAATACCCACCACCTGGTTCCCCCAACTTCCCATCCCCCCACCTCTTCAAACCCTTCAGATTGTTTTTCAGAGTCCATAGTCTCTCATTATTCACCTCCCCTTCCAATTTCCCCCAACTCCCTTCTCCTAACTCCCCATGTTCTCCATGCTATTTGTTATGCTCCACAAATAAGTGAAACCATATGATAATTGACTCTCTCTGCTTGACTTATTTCACTCAGCATAATCTCTTCCAGTCCCGTCCATGTTGCTACAAAAGTTGGGTATTCATCCTTTCTGATGGAGGCATAATACTCCATAGTGTGTATGGACCACATGTACTCTTAATAAGCACTAAACTATCAGTTTGGTATGGAATGGAAATTTTGGACCTCTAATGGAATAGTGCTATGATATAAAAGCCAAGAAAAGAATATGGATCCCTAGGAAGAGTTCAGAAAAATATCCGACATGCATAATATTTTGTAATTAATAAAACACTCTCATGCCCATGATTTTTATATTTTTAGGTATTCATTTTTTTATTGAGATCATCATAGTTTCATATGTAAGAAAAAATAGAGGGATCCCTTGGGCACTTTGCCAGTTTCTCCTAGTGGTATCATATTTATAAATAAAATTCCATTTGACTCCATCTGGAATCCGCTATGAAGGTCAGGTAAATGCATATCAAGAAACACACAGGGTTCTAGAGATGGTTTAGATCGCAGGAGCTGAAATGACTATGAAAGGAGGGGTTGTAACGGGTTAATCAACTACAAATCTAGGTCACTTCAGGGTGACAGCACATTACTTTCAAAACACAGTAGCAGAGAGTATATACATAGAGTATGGGCTTAATATCAAATTCTAGAATATCAGAACTATGGGACTTACTTAATATTTAGACTGGATAGCAAATAGCATAGTGTGAAGGACTAAACTTTGGAGTCTGACTGGGGAAACCCTTCCGCTCCTCCTGTTTCTTACCGACATCTATCATTCAGTAGCTGTGGGACCTTCAGCAAGTTATACTAAATCTCCAAGCTTATTTCTTCATCGTTCATCTGGCCATAATAATGGCACCTACCTCATAAGGTTGTGAAGATAAAAGAGGAAGATCCAGCTAACAATGTCTGACACAAATGAAAGTGTCATTATTAGCTAATTATGAAATTATGCATTTAAAATCTTTTAAAGGAAGGTTTCTAAACCTTGGCCCTATTGAAATCTTGGACCAGATCATTCTTTTTTGGGGAAGTAGAGGTGGGCACAGAGGGCTCCTGTTCATTGTAGGATGTTCAGCAGCAACCGTGGTCTCTATCTCATTAGACGTAGCACTTATCTTCCAGCTGTGATACCAAAAATGTCCCTCGATATTGCCAAATATCCCCATGCCTGGGGGAGCAGTGGGCAGGTGGATGCAAAAAAATCAACCCTAGCTGAAAGGAACTAATTTAGGACAAAAAGATGAAGTACTGCTTTCTATGGTGGTAGACATTTCTTAGTTAAAGCAACAGGTGTAACATACCAAAAATGTAAAAAAGTTTCAGTTAGGATTTAGAAATACCATACACACATACACATAGATCCATAAAGAACAAAGTTTCTAAATTATATTTGGAATTAGGTGCACTTAAAAGGTTGAAGTAATGGAGATCCCTTCTTACTAATTTTCAAACACTGTGTGGGGTAACTGCCAGATAGGATAAAACATCAAGTTGGGTGGATAACACACCTAGCAGACACGTGAGATGCCCCCATGTTCCAGAAGGCCAGTTATAAACTCCGCCTGCAGGAGGAGGTGGACGTTTCTTGCCCCCTAGAGAAACACTAGAGCACTGTGTTCCAGAAAGAGTTCCTGAATCTCTCTGTACCCCAGAATTACCAGAGCAGCTTTTCAAACATAGGAATTTCCAGGCCTTATCTCTACATTTTAATTTTTCATTTTAGGGTGGAGAGCCCAAGACATCTATCTCTAAGTTTAATAAGTCCTCCCAAGTAATCGGTAACATCTGGTCAAGTCGACAGTGTCTTAAAATATAAGAGAGAAGTTCAGGTTCTCTTTAACTCTGCCCCATCTTAATTTGGACATAAGAAAGCGACCTACACACCATGCAGAATTCCTTATGGGAATAATGATATCCTATAAATAGTTATATACATTAGCTCTCACTAATGATCATTAGGAACAAAGCTCTTACCCAAATAAAAAGTTTGAAAACCAAGATTTTACAACAAAAGAATTAATTAGAAACTGCTGTCGTTTATTATTTCTAGTAATAAGTCTTCAGTTATCTCTGGTGACAGCTTTTGCTACAAACTCCATACCATCAATCACCCATGTTCAGACAGAACAGGGGTTACTATGCTTAGTCATGTAGAACAAACAGTCCTTCTGCACACTCTGAAAATGACAAGCAGTTGAAAAGACAATGTTCATTCCATTTTCTATTCAACAACACCAGAATAGATCCTTACTAATGCCACAGAGGAAGGATTTGCTTCGGCTTTAAGAGGCTATTGATATAGGCAGAGGGATTTTGAGTCTCAGTGTGGAGGGGGTTTCCATCTCAAAATATGCAATTTGCAACCTACAGGTAGGGTTACCAGCTATCCCAGATTGCCTGGGACTGAGAATTTCCCAGCATGTGGGACTTTCAGTGCTAAAACTTAGACATTCCTGGGCAAACCATGACAACTGATAACCCCATGTATAGTCTAAAAGTCCTCTTGCAGCTGCTTCCCTCTCTATCACTTTTTTCTAAGGGTCTCTATATCCCCCAAATCTGCCCAAACCCTGGTCCATGTCCCCACCCCACACATTTCTAGCCTGAGGACTTGGGTGCTTGAGCACCTTTCTCTTCCTAAAGTAAATGGACTGAGCTGATTGGTCACAGAACCTGAGTTATAAGTCCAAGTCATCCAAGAAATTGAGGCGAAGCAGAATCAAAGAGAACCTGAGAGAACCTGACCTTCTCCCTCCTAATTCAAGACACTTAATAATGGTTCCCACTACTTGGGAGTGTTTATGAAATATAAAGATCACAGGACTTCCACCTCAGACGGTCCAGCGATGAGGACTAAGAATCCCATATGTGAAAAGCTTCTTGGTAATTATCACGTGCAGTAAGGCTCACCAACAATATTCAGAACCCAGTGCTCCTCCCGGGGTGCCATGAAATGTGTTTCTGCTGCAAGGGCAGTTTATAATTGCATTTCCAGAATGGAGATGCTTTTCAGATATTTTACTAGGAAGGACTGACCTTTGTAACCTATAAATCCAAGTTAAAACCCACATGTTGATCTCAAGAGACCATTTCAAATGCCTACACACTTTACTTGTCATGCCCTAATTGAGTCTAAAGTAAGCTTGAAATCTATTTAAATCAGATCAATTTATATTTATAAATGTTTGCCTTTAATAGTTAATTGGTAGCATATTATATCCAGATATTTCGGTAAAAATCACCTGTTGGGTTTTGTCTTTGTTATAACAATTACTGACATCAACAATTACTAATTGAATAGATATATACATGTAAGGTTCAGGGCTAGATGCTAGGCTTTGGGAAGAAGAAAATTTTAAGTTATATAATCCTTTATAGATTTATGGTCATTTATACTAATCTTATATGATCACACTCTCAACATGGATTTTTATACACATAAAAATTAGTTTCGAGGTGGTCAAAGATGGCTCTAGAAATCCTTTCACAGTCCCTGAGCCTTTAAGATGAGCAAACATTTCTTCTTTCTGAGTGACACATGGATTAAGAAATATATGATCCAAATTAATTAATTAATTAATTAAATGTAAAAATATATGTATACATATGACCTTCTTATAAACACTCATTTTGGAAGCCAATGAGAACCAACGATCCCATAAATTAATCTGTGAAAAACTATTCCAAATGTTTGCCACATTGGCAATATCCCTGCCAAATGCAGAGACTTTTTAGGTCCCTGAAAACATCTGGCAAGTGGTTTCGAGATTGTGTTATTAGAAAACGAGAGAAGATATGTGTCAAAGTACTACAAGGTCGAATATGGGGGCTGGAGCTACTTCACTCTTATGCAGTCATTTTGGACATGAGACTCCTTATTCATAAGCTCTACGAAGGTGAAAAACATCAAGATTTTATGGATTTTATCTTTGAAAACTTGCCAGACTTGCCAGAAATATTCTTAACTAGTGTGTGGAAACACACACACAGAATGAAAACCTTTCATCCTCATAGACTCTCTTGGAAGGGCTCTGGGACCCCTCAGATTCACCTACATTTTGGAAATTCAGCATCCTCTGTAAGGAGCCTTCTGTCCATTTCTGCCATTTGACACTTAACATGACATGTATGGATTGTTCCTTTGGTATGGGCAATTTCTACAAAAATTTGGCATGTATTTCCATTATACAAGGAGTGTTAATAAGCTTGTTCAAAATCCTGTCCATCCAGAATGAGAAAATGCAAAACTACTCTTGACCATTGGAGATTATGACACATACACACACAAAAAAGTCATGATTTAAAATAGAAAAAAAAAATATATATATATATCATACAAATATTTTATAACTCTTTTCCAGATACTTGTGTAGCTATACAAAACATCAGACAACTCAAAGGTGAATTTGCATCTGGCTTAAGACTTTGTTATGTGTTTATATGTGTTTGTTGGGGTTGGGGGAAGAAGAAGAAAAGTGTCTCTAATAATCTGACTTAAAACTCTAATTGGATTGACATTGGGTCCTGCCCCCTCTTATTGTCTTTCATCAAAACACAATGGATGGCTAGCAGAGCAAGGGGAGCTCATCAGAAAATAAGGACAGTCAACTAGCCACCTGCATCCATGGGAAAATAATTTACCACTTACCAGCAGGGTTACACTAGGCCTCAGTGTCCTTATCGTGAAGCATATTATTTCACAGATTAATTTAAGGATTTAATATAAAATATATAAAGGACTTAGTGCCTGGAGCACAAAAATCTTCAATAGTAATAAAGCTACTAAGAGTATTAGTAACTATTATTAATATACTTAATTATTAATTAACATACTTAATAAACACTGGGATGATGTTTTTACCTACTTAGACCATATGGATCTGTTTTAACCAGTAATATCTTAAATGAGCTATTAATAATGACACTGAAATGCATTACCTTTTTAAATCTCTTCTTTCAGTTCCTGGAGATAAAGGACATCTCATGAAGCAAGTTCACCTAATCCTATTTTTATCAGCCATCCAGAAACCAGTCTATAAACCTCTTACCCATCTGGATTATAAAAGATAAGCTGTGCTCTCATTTCTACTCATATAAATTAGTGTTTCTTTCCTAACTGTCTTTCTGGAAGCATTAATTTGCCTTCTGCTTACTAGCCAATCTACCATCTCTGGGGTTAAAACCAGAGAAACTATCAGACAAATGGAAATCAATTCTGAGACTTTTCAACATAGAAGTTAATGCAGAAAAAAAAAATTGAGACAGAAAAAGACAACATAGGATCACAAAGAGTTACACCACTCACCTCCTCTTTGCCTATGTTGAATCATCTTACAAGCAGGTAATAGAAGAAAGCAAGTAGTCATGTTAAAACTCTCCTCTCACCGAATACCTCAAAAATACTATCAGTATCAAGACAGTACAGATTATCTACATCCAGTGATAGAAAATAAGTACACCACTTGTTTGTCACAGAAAACCAAGTAGGAATTCATTAGGACCAGGAGTTGTGGTGAGTGTTTTTCACCGGACACCTATTTATGCTTAAGGCAGACGCTTGGCCCCCCAGCTGGAGAGCATACTCTATACCAGCACACGCCTTGATGCCTCCTGCTCCCTCTCAGCTCCCCCGATACAACTCGAGCACCTCTTCAGCTTTTCTGTTGCACCAGGCATGGTTTCCCCACAGGAGGCCAGGTTTAGGAAAGCAGCAAGAAGCTGAACTATCCTGACAGTACACGTGAAGACCTGTCCCCAGCCCAGCCTCTTACCTGCAGCATCTGCGCCTTCCGCAGGCGCACTCTGGGTCGACACTGGGGTTGGGTCCTTGAGTCCGTGCACCTGAGCAGCTTCTTCCTGGTTTGCCAAAAATGCAGAGCACAGATCAGTTTCCAGGGCTTGGAGCTTCAGCAAGGAATTCTGCCAGCAAAAGCAGAACATCGGGCTAGCTAAGTAACTGCCTAATACACAACAGTGAGTCCGTAGCTCCGCAGAACACCTTCCTCCAGCGCCTGGCAGGGGGAAGATCTCAGCTCCAGCTGCTTCAGGTAGAGCTGATTGTGCCAGAATCAGATATACATTACTTCACATGCAGCCTCAGTTTCTGCCTCATTTCAGTCCTAACGTATATGGCTTTATGTGTCACACACGGGACTGGTGATTTCGTCAGCAGGAGACGCTGCACCAGAAGGAGCCAATCTGAGATGGTATCTGCTTCCCCGAGTGCTTGGGGCTTTACGCTTTGCAAGTGTTTCATTCATTGTGCTGACATCAGGAGCAAGTGACATTAGGCCCCTCCCAGGCTACCATTCATAAAAGCCAGCATCCCTTAACTACGGAGACTGCAGCAGACCGCAGTGCATAAAGAGTTACTGCTGCAGAGGCCGCCTGGCATCTGGGAGGTGCTTCTGGGCTCCCTGATCTACATCTGTTTCTGGGAGGGTATATGCATGCACTCATGTGTGTCTTCTGAAGTTGCCTCCCTCACATGGGATGGCTATACATGCCTATATCGAAAGCAGGGTGGAGGAAGCAAGGGAGAGGGCCTTGGTCACTGAGGGAGAAGCAATTTCTTAGCTCCCAGAACAACCCTCTCCCCACCCTCTTCATTTCTCAGTTTAAATTTCTCCCATGGTTCTTAATAAGAACAGAGTCATGCAGACTGACGCACGTATCCTGCCATGATGCAGATGCCCAGCAAATTAATTCCCCTGACCAGGTGAAAGTGAGTCACGCCTGAGGCCTTGGCGGGGTGCCACTCCCCTGCAACAGGAAAGCTCTGCAGGCCCCAGCAGCTCCCCGCCCCAGAGCTCCTGGCAGGGGTGGCCACCTGGAGTGGAGACTTGATCCTGTGCCTATTATGACCCTCCAGTACACACATACTCGCTCACACCCTACCCTCCACATCCCCTATTCCCCACACATCTTCATACACTCACCCCCATCCCTATCCCGTGCATACCCTTATACCCTACCTTCACCCCCTGTTCTCCACACCCTCATGCCAACCCCATACCTTCACACTACTTGCACATACACTTAATCTCCAAATAACCCCATATACACTCTCATTCCTACTCTTCACACTCAGCTTTTTTTATCCCCTACTACACACATACACACAGAGACCCCCCACCATACACACACCATATATACGCCCTCAAACTCAGCTCCCGTTCTCACATCTATTCGGTACACACACACTCCTACCCCCACATATACCCTCATGCCTTACCTCACCTAAGTGCCTACCTCCGGCATCTCTCCACACTGGGCCCCTCCGCCCCACAATACCTATTCCTACACACATACCCTCATCCATGCTGTTGATGTAAATAAATACGAGCCCACAGCAGTGTTTTCAAAGTTGTTCCCTACTAAATGGGCTCCAGATACCTCCTCTGCCGTGCTCAGAGATGAAGGCACAAACCTCCTCTGTGCTCAGGGGCTGCTGACTGAGGGTCCACAGTTCAGATTAGGCATCTGCCTAAGATCGGGTCACCTTTTTATTGCTCCCTCCTCCTTTCTGGGATGTTCTCCCAGCATTTGAGTGTGAAAGTAAGAACCTGAGGTTTGTGACAGGAGCTACACAGAAGCAAGGGCACCAAGTTTCTGAAAAGAGTTCTAGGCATCTGGGAGACAAACAAACAAACAAACAAAATCCCAGACAAACTTCCTACTGGCAGACCTTGGAGAGTGACCTTTCAAAAAAGAGCAAAACTATTTTGAAAATTAAGAAATGATGACATGAGAATGTAAAATGGTACAGGTGCTATAGAAAACAGTATGGCATTTCCTCAAAAAAAAAATTAAAAATAGAACAACCACATGATCCAGTAATTCTGCTACTGCATAGATAACCCGAAAGAATTGAAAGCAGGGACTCAAACAGATATTTGTGTACCCTTATTCATAGCAATATTATTCACAATACCCAAGAGTTACATTACAGACTGAATTGTGTCTTCCTCAAATTCATACATTGAAGACCTAACCCCCAATGCAACTGTATTTGGAGATGGAGCTTTTAAAGGGAAAATGAGGTCTAAGGGTGGGGCCCTGATTCAATATGATTGGGCTCATATAAACACTGAGAGATAGACACCGGGGATGCATACACAGAGGAAGAGCCATGTGAAAAAGTGGCTTTTTTCCAACCAGGAGAAAGGCTTCGAGAGAAACCGACTCTACCATCACCTTGATCTTGAGCTTTCAGCCTCCAGAACTGAGGAAATAAATGTTTGTTGTTTCAGCCACCCAGTCTGTAGTATTTTTTTTTTAATGGCAGCTCTAACAGTGTATTAGCAGATTAATAGAAGGAAGAAGGAGGACGGACGGATGGACGGAAGGAAGCAAGGAAGGAAGGAAAGAAGTCCCTCCCTACATTTAGAGGAAGGGTGTGGAACCTGCTGCTTCTTGTAGACTCCATGTGTTCTTATATATTCTACAAAGCAGAAGAGGACATGTCAGCTCTGCTACCTTCTATGCACCTGACTTTGGGCAAGCATTTTTGCTATTCTAAACCTTAGTTTTTCCATGTATATATACAAGCATGTATAATACATATATAAAATAATAAATATATAAATATATGTATATAAATAAAAAATATATAAAAGCATGTTTTTATATATATACATGCTCTTATTTTAGGACTGAACACTGGGTTTATTACGAATTATCTCCACACCCCAGAGGCCACTGGGCAGAGCTCTGGTCATGTGTGAGGCCAAATGCTACACCAACCCTGAGGCCTTGACTCATCACTTTATCTTCCAGGGCCCCACTCTCTGCATCTGCCTATAAAGGGCCTGGGATTAGGTGACTTCTAAATCCCTTTCCAACTATAAGGGAAAGGAAAACAAACATGCATATACACTGAGGATGGTGCACAGAATATGGCACAATGTGGATGCTAAGATAGTGTTTCTGGAACTGAACCAAGTGTACATGCAACACAAATAAAGAGCAAATAATTTCAGTGCATAGAAGTATGTCAGCTCACATTCAGAAGCCTCTGAACTGCCACAGGGAGTGAGGTATAACGCTGAGACCCAGTTATGGCTAGAAGTAGTAATTGGGTTGTTGTCCATCTTACTTTCCCACCTCTCCCTCCCTCGTACTCAGACCGAAGCAAAAACAAGACAGGAGGTTTGTCGAAGATGATCGATCTGCATGGCTGGTTTATTCCTCTCTGAGATAAGAGATGGGAGTAAGGTTAAAGGAGTGGAGAAGAAAGCAAGTGGCAAATGAAACAGGAGAGAGAAGATGAAGGTCTCAAGGTATAAGACCACCTCCAAGCAGAAGGGAAAAAATAAGCTGCTATAACTGAAGACAAGAAAGCAGAATGGAAGTGTCTTCCTTTCGATGGTCATTCTATGACCAGTTGTCATCAACTATATAACTTCCTCACTTCAAACTGACCCATTACCTGAAGACGACCAGATGTTTCTCAACATAGGAGTGGAGAGTGGGGATTTGGACATGCTGTGTAGGATGGGTCTATAGACCCATTATAAAGGGATACCTCTCCTGCTGACCAGGAAACCCAGGACAAGGGTGGGGGTAGGGGCCTTACCTGTAAGCAATCTATGCCACCGTCATATGTCCTTCCAGTGAGCAACAGAAGACATTCAGCCTGTCGCATCAGGGCTGAGCCCCATAGACAAACCCTTGAGAAGGCCCATGGACAAGTCACACTGCACATTGTGCCCCTACACAGATGTAACACCCCACATGCAGCTACTAGGCTCTGCCCACTTTTAATGCACACAGAGCTGCACTAGGCTCTGGTGAGACTGGTTTCAGCCCCTTCTTGTGGGGCTTCCAGTGTAGTGGGGAGATAGCCAGAAAACAAGCAAATCAAATAATAGTGAAGTTTCTACTGTCATATGTTGATGGAAAAAGAAACCACAAGCCCGAGGAGAGAGTAAGCACTGGTTTAACTCTGGTCATGCCTGACACAGTGACCTTAAATGCAGGAACATGATTTTCTCCTACAGAAAACTAAGGGCTGTAAATCCCTGGTGTCTTGGTGCTACCTCAATGCAACCATTCTCTCACTAGGACCAGCACTCCCTATGAGGCTGCCCCAAGCCCACTCCTCAGAGCAGCCTGCTAGCACTAATGCAGATTTACAACCCCAGGTCTCCATAATGGATCTTTAGGATCTACAGGAAAAATAAACAAAGGCTGATGGATGCCCTAAAGAACAATGACTACCTCTCCTCTCCCTCTCCCATCTGGATATATACAAAACCAAAGAGAAGTCCACGAAACCTAGGTGTGGCTTTCTAAAAGCTATTTTTTTCCCTCTTTTACATAATGGAAAATATGCTACTTGTTTTAGAAAATACTCTACTCACTTTTCTCTGCTATGCAATTACTGGGTCCCTCTTTAGTTGGGTTGGAATGGAGAACACCCACACAGGCTGGATGGTTAAATGCTATTTTAAGGTACCTTCGCCTGCAATTCACCAGTTGCAGAATAGGGAAAGTTTATTTTTAATATTTGTGAAGAGGTTCAGTGGCCCTTTCACATCCTTTTATCTAAGAACTGTATATAAATTCTCTATGGTGATATGAAGATCAAATATGATATTTGCTCAAAGTTGGGGATACAACTGGGTCCCTGAATATCCCATTTTACTTACCATTCTTCTTCCCTGATTTTAATGTTTTCCATGTATATTTCCCTCCATGACCTACCTCCCAAGCCCTCCTCACACACACTCCCCTTTCTTTCCACCTGCTTCCTGACCCCACCTCTCCAGGCCTGCTTTAGCTATAGTCATTTCACAGTCAAATTTCTATCAAATTCTTGAGCCAGTTTTGATTACCTTAGCTAAGCTGCACCC